GGTTTGTGTGCGGCTGCTCGGCCATGGAAACCCATTTCATGAAGCTCCCGACGAACAGTTCTTGTGCTGACGTTGCTTCCAAAGGCAGTTTGGAACTCGGTAGTGAGCATTGCAACCGAGGACAGACAATTTTTACGCGCTACGCACTTCAGCACTTGGCGGTCCCGTTCACGGCTCCTAGATGTTTCCACTTCACAATAACAGTACTTACAGCTGACCGGGGCAGCTCTAGCAGGGCAGAAATTTGACGAACTGACTTGTTGGAAAGGTGGCATCCTATGACAGTGCCACGTTGAAAGTCACTGAGCTCTTCAGTAAGCCATTCTACTGCCAAAGTTTCTATGGAGATTGCATGGCTGTGTGCTCGATTTTATACACCTGTCAGCAACGGGTGTGGCTGAAATAGCCGTATCCACTAATTTGAAGGGGTGTCCACATCCTTTTGTATAGTGTAGCTTCATTTTCATCAGATGACAACAGAAGGACTCCTGAGTGGCGCAGTGGTCTAAGGCACTGCATCGCAGTGCTAGCTGTGCCACTAGAGATCCTGGTTCGAATCCAGGCTCTGTTGTAGCCGGCCGCGACCGGGAGACCCATGGGGCGGCGCACAATTGGCCCAGCGTCGTCCAGGGTAGGGGAGGGAATGGCCGGCAGGGATGTAGCTCAGTAGAGCATGGTGTTTGCAATGCCAGGGTTGTGGGTTCGATTCCCACGGGGGGCCAGTATGAAAAAAATAATGTATGCACTAACTGTAAGTCGCTCTGGATAAGAGCGTCTGCTAAATGACTCAAATGTAAGTGAAATGCTATTTGGCTGGAAGCCACACAAGTAAATGAGCTTACAATGAAAAAGCAAGGTCTTTTATACAAAAACGATGCATGGCCATCATATTTCTAATGTTTATCATAGAAAGAATGAAGCCAGCTAAATTTCCTAATGTTTTTCTTAAAGTTAATCTTGCATTTTACTGGAGAAAAGTAGACTGGCTACACTGAGAAAAGTACCAGAGAAAAGTAACTACACATCAGTCAGAGTGCAGTCTGCTGATAGAATGCCCGTTCGTAAATTCTCATCCAGTGGAGAAGTGCAACTGAAGCATAAAATGTATCTGATGCTGAACAGAAATTACAATAAGAAACATTTTAGATCTATGTTTACAAAACGCAGCAAGATATTTCTTATGCGGGAAAAATGCAGAATTCTACGTTAACGTGACCCATAAGTTTAACTTGCTAGTTATCTAAGTAAGTGGCTGAATTAATAAGGTGACGGGGCATCATACTGTGTTAGCTTTCGGCCATGTTTGAGAAGTCAAAGCCCTTTGGATGAGTTATCTGTACAGCTGCCACTGCTATCTTGATTTTCTAGAAAAAAATAATAATTCTCTGTCCTCGGCCCGTCGGTTCCTCCCCCCTTCTCTAAGCAGAGCAGGCAGGTCCGTTGCCCTAGCAAATCCAGATTCCACACAGACACAGCGTGTACACAGAGCTAGTACTGTTGTTCTTCCTTCAGACAAGCATGCGTCAAAACTTTGTTAATTTGCACAATGTCTCTCGTTCACATTTGCTTGTAAATGTCCAAACTCACCAAAAATGAAATTCGTTAGCTCCTACCTACACTCTTAGAAAAAAGGGTTACAAAAGGGTTGTTCTCTTCTCCCCATAGGATAACCATTTTTGGTTCCAGGTATAACCCTTTTTGGTTCCAGGTAGAACTCTTTTCAATTCCATGTAGAATCCTCTGTGTAAAAGGGTTCAACATGGAACCAAAAGGGTTCTACCTGGAACCAAAAAGGGTTCTTCAAAGGATTCTCTTATGGGGACAGCCAAAGAACCCATTAAGGTTCTAGATAGCACCTTTTTTTCTAAGAGTGTAGATACAATATGTATATCTTTATGAGCTAGATTGCCTGTCTTTGCAATTCGTTTATTTTTCATTGTGCTCGTTAGCATATTTAGCCTCCATGGAAATTCACTATTACTTGTGCAAATGTTATTAGCATTCTTGTAATACACGCCCAATAAGCTTTTTTTGCCCCCCCCCCCCTTGTGAACTAAACCAGTAAAACGGTAAATCCCGAGATGAGAGAAGGATGACGATATGAAAATCTGGATACCGCCCAACCCTAATCTTAACACTAGTCTGTGACAAAGTGAGAGAGAGAGAGAGAAAGAGAGTGGAGTTGACAAAATAGAACTGAGGGAAAGGAAACTAAACTCAGGAGGGGCGCCTCCACAGAGGCATGTCAGCCCAAGCCCAAATCCGACTGAAGACAGCCATTTTGAGTAAGCACTGCCATCATCTAAAGAAGGTCGATAAGGTGTCCTGTCAAACAATGCCTTTCAGACGGTGACTATCTGTGGAAGCAGATTCACAGCAGAGGGGAATGAAAAATGAAGACTGCCTTTCGAGGCACAGTGTGTGGTTAAAACATTTGGCAATGAAAAACATTTGCAAATTTGTACATAAACGTCTTTACGGTACAGTGCCCTCTCTCAATCCTCAATTCTGCACAGCCGTGGAATTATTCATGAGCTTTTGTGATTTCTCTGCTAAAACTCACAGCATCCTTATTTTCCCTCCACCTCCCCTATTAAAGTCAGGGATGCCTGGTGATCCATATGTCAACATGGAGGAAATGAAACGAACAAAGGCGGCCTACCTGAAACCAAGAAGTTCTGTGCTGTACGGTAATAATAGATCTGGGTCGTCAATTCAGAGGCTCCATCTAAACAGCTTTTTGGGGGCACTACTGTGATATGGCTTTCCATGAGGGGAAAGTTGCAAATTACTTGAATAATCTGGATATAGGCCTACATATGGTAATATTACACAGTTCAATGTTCAATTACTCAGAGAAATGCCTCCACACATGAAACAGGCTAACCAATAAACTCCTCCTTGAGAGAGGCCAATGAAAAGAGTCCTATAGTATAGTGAATGAATATAGTCCATTGACTGCTGTTCCTGTAATTTCCAAAATGGTGTTCGGCTTGAATGACAACCAACAGTAAAGCTGAAATAATGCACATCCATTTTGTCTATGGCCAGGTATCAAGATCCTGATCCATGATTGATATATGCAGGAGGAGAAAATGACAGGACTAAATGGCAGAACACCTTTGAAAGGCGTACCTTGAAGGGTCTAGAATGCTCCATTTCGTTAATACAGTGCTGGCACATTCCTAAAAAAAACCTGTCATTTCAAACACATTTATCGCTCATTTAATCAGCATTACAGGTACATTTCCATAATCCAAAAGATGAATATGGGGATACAAGGCCATTGGCCCTACTTCCCAACGAATAAGCACCTCCGTGATTCCTCCACACTGCCATGATAATGCAAACTTAAACGCCACACAGCTAATGCACCCAACATGTGAGGTCATATCTTCAACTCTTCATGAAGTCACGATGCGTCTCATCTGGTGCCACGAATCACGAGACGAGGCAAGAGCTTCATGCCTTTCTCCCACAATCAGGCTCTTGTGCATTGTAAACAACACTGTGGTGAGACGCCCATCCAGATCCTGCCTGCCCTGCTGATGACCACTGGGCGCCAAAATCAAGCCCTGAGAGAAACCTTATCCCTGGAGAAGCCAACTTGCAGCACTCTGTCTGAAGTCGGTCAGCTAGCTACAGCCCTGTGGGACGACAGACAGCTACTTCACTGAACAAAAAAATTAACGCCGCATGTAAAGTGTTGGTCCCATGTTTCATGAGCTGAAATAAAAGATCCCAGAAATGTTCCATTAGCACAAAAAGCTTATTTCTCTCAAATGTTGTGCACAAATGTGTTTACGTCCCTGTTAGTGAGCATTTCTCCTTTGCCAAGATCATCCATCCACCTGACAGGTGTGGCATATCAAAAAGCTAATTAAACAGCATGATCATTACACAGGTGCACCTTGTGCTGGAGACAATGAAAGGCCACTCTAAAATGTGCAGTTTTGTCACACAACACAATGCCACAGATGTCTCAAGTTGTGAGGAGAGTGCAATTGGCAGTTGACTGCAGCAATGTCCACCAGAGCTGTTGCCAGATAATTTAATGTTCATTTCTCTTCCATAAGCAGTCTCCAACAACGTTTTAGAGAATTTGGCAGTACGTCCAACCGGCATCACAACTGCAGACCACGTGTATGGCGTCGTGTGGGTGAGCGGTTTGCTGATGTCAACGTTGTGAACATCAGCACTCACTAACTGTAAGTCGCTCTGGATAAGAGCGTCTGCTAAAATGACTAAAAATTTAACAAAATGTAAACAGAGTGCCCCATGGTGACGGTGGGGTTATGGTATGGGCAGGCAGGCATAAACCATGGACAATGAACACAATTTCATTTTATCTATGTCAATTTGAATGCACAAAAATACCGTGACGAGATCCTGAGGCCCATTGTGAGGCCCATTTTTTAAAAAGGTATCTGTGACCACCATATGCATATCTGTATTCCCAGTCATGTGAAATGCATAGATTAGGGCCCAATTTATTTATTTCAATTGACTGAATTCCTCATATGAACTGTAGCGCAGTAAAATCAATGAAATCGTTGCATGTTGCATTTATATTTTTGTTCAGTATACATCACAGGAGGCTGCTGAGGGGAGGACGACTCATAATAATGGCTGGAACGGTACAAATGGAATGGCATCAAACATCTGGAAACCATGGAAACCATGTGTTTGATACCATTCCACTCCAGTCAATACCAGGAGCCCATTCTCCCCAATTAAGGTGCCACCAACCTCCTGTGGTATACATTGTCTCTGGCTGCTGCTGCTAAGCTACTTCCATTAAATTATACTGTTTTGCTTCTGCATTTTCATTGCACTTTTCTCAAACTGAAATTGGTCACTGAATGGGGTAACCCCCTTATAAATATATAGGACTTTATCACCACAATGGGAAGCATCCATCTGGTACAGAATGTGAATAGTAATTTGGAGAATGATAAAAAAGCTGTTTTCATGTAGTTGCCAGTTGATCTGCAGATGGGCTATCCAGTTGTAAGGATGTTGGTTACCTCTCTGTCTTCACTGCAGATCTTGCACAGCCACTGAGTTCTCTTCTGACTGCACTGGGTCTCTATGCCACACTTAGTGCACACTTTCTGTAAGAGAGAGAGAATAACGTTTTTTAAATAAGACCCGATTTTGAATTGACCATGAGTGGCGTACTGAGTAATGTGGACAAAACACAAAAAGGTTATACAATACTTATATATACTGTAATATGTATTATATACTGTAAGTTCTAAAAGGTAATATAAATACTTAGCTATAAAGTTAAGTTGTTGCACTTTGCCGCTGTCTTTTGTAACAGTAAAAAAAGCACATGATAATTTTACAGTTTGGCTTGAATTACTATGCAATTTCATACAAATTGCAATGTTCCATATTGAAATTGAAAACAGTCAGTGCCAAGTGAAAAACTTTTAGCAAGTCCAACAACTTCATAAAACTGGAGAGTCCCTGATAATATATATTCTGCAATAATGAAATGAATGTCAATAAATATAAAGCTTTTGAAAGGACACTTATTTTTTTATATTGTTCAAAGAACAAAACAGAATAAAATCACTGATATTCGATTCTAGAGTACCATCAGTAGTTAGTGTTGGAAATTTGCTGAGCCATCACAGCCAAGTTTGTGACATTGAAAAGTTCACAGAAAAGTCACTGTGACACATTATGTATTTCCATGATGTCAAGTCATTGCACAACTCAACACAACACTGCTCCACCTCCTCCCACCACAAATAAAGTGGGTGAGTCATGTCAACATGCAGACTTCTGCTGAATTTCAAATGGGCTCTAGCCCCTACACACTAGGAACTTCTGAAGACAGCTTCCTTCTGCATTCTGCATGGCTGGCTGGGTGTAGTTTTCATCATATTGCATAAATCTATCCAGTCCTCTCCGATCTACAGCAGTGGCTAGGGAGTAAGGGCTAAGGGATTGACTTGGAACTGAGCATTAATACAATCATCAGAAACATATTTGTAAATGTTGAAAGTGCGTGGGAGACGGAGAGAAACAAAACGGAGCAGTTTGAGGCCATGTGGTGGAGAGTGATGCGGGCGCTGGAGATAGTGGTGTGAGCAGGTGGGTCTGAGCAGGGGTGATGTTGTGGATGTTTGTGTGAGTCTGTATGTTGTCATTTGTATGCGCATGTTTTGTATTGTTTAAAAAATAAGAAATACATTATCTTACAAAAAGAAAGGAAACATTTGTATGTCCCTAGAGAGCAACAAAACATGGAGCTAGCTCTTCAATGTGTTCACCTAGCGTAGCCTTTGACAAAGCGAGAGCTTGGTCGGATGCAGCAGTGTAAAAACCATCCAATTACGTTACCTTAAGAATCGATTTGGAAGCAGGGTTGATTATGTAAAGCAAGCATTTCGCTACACCCACAATAACATCTGCTAAATATGTGTATGTGACCAATAACATTTGATTTGATTTGAAAAAGTCACAGGAAGGAAGCTTTAATCAAGCCTTACGCAATGGAGGAGAGAGCTTGGCTGAAGTGCTCATAATTGTCTTTCCTGAAGTAGCTCAGTATTTTTTGTCAGAGAGAGAGTAGAATATCTGGGTCTCCACCTCCTTAGATCAAACATTTTTGGTAAACTGCCATCAGCTAAAATAAACTGTGACACATCTGCCTCAATTGTCTCTTGTAACAGAATGTGAATATAAATGCTTTATTATGCCATAAAGCTGTCCAGCGCACGTAGGATTTGCTTCTGGGGTCCAGGATAACTGGCTCAAAGACGCCTGACCATAGCCATCTCATCTGTACTCTAGCTAGTGCATAGTCTGATGGATGTGTACACCTGTCAGTTCACACCCAGAGCACGTCTTCATCTGAAGACTCTACACAGTCACCTAGCGACCAATACATCTGTCTACCTTCCAATTACATACTAACAAATCTGGGCTATGTGTTTAGACTGGGGGCATTTATTGACAAGACTATAAAAAGTCAACAAGTAGTAGATATGCAAACACATGTACATATTACCTCAATTACCTCGACTAACCGGTGCCCCCACACAATGACTCGGTACCGGTACCCCCTGTATAGCCTCGCTATTGTTATTTTTACTGCTGCTCTTTAATTATTTGTTACTAATATTTTGTATTATTTTATATTGTATTTTTTGGTGTGATTCTTTTTGGTATTCTTTCTTAAAACTGCATTGCTGGTTAAGGGCTTGTAAGTAAGCATTTCACTGTAAGGTCTACACATGTTGTATTCGGCGCATATAAATGTGACATAGAAATATGTATCTCTACTGTGGGGAATTCCGTTTTTCTTTACTGAGTAAGCAGTAGCTTACTTCATAAGAGAAGTTGAAAGGAAAACGTAACAAGTCTAAAATCACAGTGTGTCAATGTCAATGACCTAAAGTGTGTGTGGTGTTATACTGAGACAGATTCCACCGCTCCCACACCTGAAGCGAACTGAGGGTCATATCAAATCAACGTTTATTTGTCACATACACAGATTAGCAGATGTTAAAGCGGGTGCAGCGAAATGCTTATGTTTCTAGCTCCAGCAGTGCAGTAAATGTCTAACAGTATTATACTAATACAGAAATAAAAATAAACATAACTTTTTTTAAACATAATAACTAGAAATTAAGAAATATCAGAATGAGCAATATCAAAATGAGCAATGTCAAGAGTCCGGAATATAAATACGTGGTGTGTATAGACAGTATGGACAATAAAGAAGTAGGAAAAGGTATGTACAGCAGTAGTTATATAGGATGAGCTATGTACATATAAAGTGAGTAATCAATGAGCTTAATTTCTCAGAGATCAAATGCCATTTCAACAAAATAATGTTGCAGGAATAGCAATCATATCTGTTTATTAAACGATTTCAGAACAACAAACATTTACGTAAACATTATTAAAGTGACCAGTGTTCAATGACTCTATATACATAGGGCAGCAGTGTTTAAGGTGCAGGGTAGAGTACCAGGCGGTAGCCGGCTAGTGACAGTGTCTAAGGTGCAGGGCAGAGTACCAGGCGGTAGCCGGCTAGCAACAGTGTCTAAGGTGCAGGGTAGAGTACCAGGCGGTAGCCGGCTAGTAACAGTGTCTAAGGTGCAGGGCAGAGTACCAGGCGGTAGCCGGCTAGTAACAGTGTCTAAGGTGCAGGGTAGAGTACTGGGCGGTACCCAGCTAGTGACAGTGTCTAAGGTGCAGGGTAGAGTACCAGGCGGTAGCCGGCTAGAAACAGTGTCTAAGGTGCAGGGCAGAGTACCAGGCGGTAGCCGGCTAGTGACAGTGTCTAAGGTGCAGGGTAGAGTACCAGGCGGTAGCCGGCTAGAAACAGTGTCTAAGGTGCAGGGCAGAGTACCAGGCGGTAGCCGGCTAGTGACAGTGCCTAAGGTGCAGGCTAGAGTACCAGGCGGTAGCCGGCTAGTGACAGTGTCTAAGGTGCAGGGTAGAGTACCAGGCGGTAGCCGGCTAGTGACAGTGTCTAAGGTGCAGGGCAGAGTACCAGGCGGTAGCCGGCTAGTAACAGTGTCTAAGGTGCAGGGCAGAGTACCAGGCGGTAGCCGGCTAGTAACAGTGTCTAAGGTGCAGGGCAGAGTACCAGGCGGTAGCCGGCTAGTAACAGTGTCTAAGGTGCAGGGTAGAGTACTGGGCGGTACCCAGCTAGTGACAGTGTCTAAGGTGCAGGGTAGAGTACCAGGCGGTAGCCGGCTAGAAACAGTGTCTAAGGTGCAGGGCAGAGTACCAGGCGGTAGCCGGCTAGTGACAGTGTCTAAGGTGCAGGGTAGAGTACCAGGCGGTAGCTGGCTAGAAACAGTGTCTAAGGTGCAGGGCAGAGTACCAGGCGGTAGCCGGCTAGTGACAGTGCCTAAGGTGCAGGCTAGAGTACCAGGCGGTAGCCGGCTAGTGACAGTGTCTAAGGTGCAGGGTAGAGTACCAGGCGGTAGCCGGCTAGTGACAGTGTCTAAGGTGCAGGGCAGAGTACCAGGCGGTAGCCGGCTAGTAACAGTGTCTAAGGTGCAGGGCAGAGTACCAGGCGGTAGCCGGCTAGTAACAGTGTCTAAGGTGCAGGGCAGAGTACCAGGCGGTAGCCGGCTAGTAACAGTGTCTAAGGGGCAGAGTACCAGGCGGTAGCCGGCTAGTAACAGTGTCTAAGGTGCAGGGCAGAGTACCAGGCGGTAGCCGGCTAGTAACAGTGTCTAAGGTGCAGGGCAGAGTACCAGGCGGTAGCCGGCTAGTAACAGTGTCTAAGGTGCAGGGTAGAGTACCAGGCGGTAGCCGGCTAGTGACAGTGTCTAAGGTGCAGGGTAGAGTACCAGGCGGTAGCCGGCTAGTAACAGTGTCTAAGGTGCAGGGCAGAGTACCAGGCGGTAGCCGGCTAGTAACAGTGTCTAAAGTGCAGGGCAGGGTACTGGGCAGAGGCCGGCTAGTAACAGTGTCTAAGGTGCAGGGCAGAGTACAAGGCGGTAGCCGGCTAGTAACAGTGTCTAAAGTGCAGGGCAGAGTACCAGGCGGTAGCCGGCTAGTAACAGTGTCTAAAGTGCAGGGCAGGGTACTGGGCGGAGGCCGGCTAGTAACAGTGTCTAAAGGGCAGGGTACTGGGCGGAGGCCGGCTAGTAACAGTGTCTAAAGTGCAGGGCAGGGTACTGGGCGGAGGCCGGCTAGTGACTTCATTAGCTGTGTGTGTCCGTCTCCACCTAATTCCCTGGATTGGCCTATATTTGCTCTATGGCACAGCTTTACACAGTCCAACCTTTCATCATCGAGCATCACACAGTCCCTAGCAGCATACTTAAGTTTGTGATTGGACACACTTAATATACTGGATGCCTCCACACCTGTCCCTCCCAGTTTGGATGGTGAAGATATGTCCATTTCCTATGAGACTGTGAACACAGCCTGCTCTACGCTCCTCGTTTAGGGCTTTGCTGCCCTCTCCTGGGCCTTAAGCTTACTCTCTGGCGTTTCCTTCCGACAAACTTAAAACTGACCTCTCAACATTTGCTTTCATTTAGCAGAGTGATATATAAAACAGTCTAGCATAGACCACTTAAGGAGTTTGTATAACATCATGAGTACACCATTTTGAACATATCATGCAATGTCAACAAATCTACAGAATTTTTACAGGGACATTTGTAGGGGAATGAGTATATTCAGAAATATTTGCCAATTTGATTTGATATGTTATTTTACATAGGTTATCATAAACACTCTTGCCTTCATGCTTTAGGTAAGCAACTTAGGCATTCACATCTGAGGTCTCTGCTGCAACCCTATGGTGAAAAGTGATTACTACAAGCTGGCTATCCAGTCAAGTCCATGCTTTGGAACAGTGAATTGAATTGCTATTCACTACAATTCTACAATATTCCCCAATTATGAGTCCCATACATTCTGTTTACGTCTAATAGGCCTTTGCCTTGCTTGGCGAGAGTTATTACGTTATAGACATGACAGAGCTCTTGTAAGTATCTGTTTGAGATGAGAATCCCCATTATAGGCACTATTGAACAGCAGAATGAACCCCCTCTTATCTGGTTTATACAGTCTAATACCACTTATTACATTTCCTCTCAGAGACCCACATAATCTTTCCCCTGGGTTGTTTCACTTCCTCCCTTCTGATCTCATTACGCCCAGTGCCACTGGCCTCTAGCACATGGAGCAGAGGAGTTGGAGAGAACACTCGGAAAGGCTACTGGTCATAGGAGAAGTTCAATGGGCATCATGGCCAATATGTCAAACCCACAATATCTGTAGGAGAATACTGCAATTGTAATGATTCACGGTTATAAAGAGTAGTGAACACATATCCTCATCAAGCCTTTAGTTGAATCAGGTGTGTTAGTGCCAGGGCAAAAACAGAAATGGGTTTTTTTGTATTTCAACAAATTGACATCGGACAGAGATCTCCTGAACTAGAGCTGGTCAATATGGACAAAAAGTAATATCATGCTAAATTGACCCATTTTGCTTGACATCGTCGATAAATACAAAAACCATATTTTTTTTATGCAGTTACTTTCCATTAGCGGCAGGGCTCTAGACTAACTTTTTCCAGTGCCATCAATAAGTAAGACAATAAAAAGTTGGCATGTTCAGGGAATGCATGATTGACATTTTGATTTGCAACATTTCAAAATAGGATCCAGAATGATCAGTTATTTTTGGCTCTTTAGAGATTAATTTTCCTTCATTTTTTTTGTGCATATTGATTTAGGCTATGTGCTACATATTCACCACCTGATGAAGACGGTCCTCAAAACACATTAGCTAGATTTCAAACTTTAAATAGGATATTGTTGCTAGATAGCCATGTAATTGATCTAACAGTAAATGTAAAGCGGCAATCTGCAGTTCAAACAATAAAGTGAGGGATGGGGCTGGAGAAATGTAACCACTGAAATTCATAAACAGAGCTATGGATGCAAGGACTGACCATCTATCAAAAGTAAGTAAGTAAGTTTTAACCAAACCATGTTTTGAGGCTATATAGTGTTTGCTTACAATTACCTTGCTTACAAACAATGGAGTAAATCAATCTTATATTTGGGGTTCTGATGAGGTACAACAGTTGAACTAAGCTCATAAGGCATTTATAAGTTATATTCTTCAAGAATCAATGGGTATACTGTATGTCATTAATTTAAAAGTACAAGAATGGATGTAGCAATCGCAGATTGAACCTTTAATGTCCTACAAAAACGTTCCATTGCTAGGCTACTTGATGTATTCACCCCAAATCACGTGCTCCGTTCCACCAGTGCATCATCTCAATTACATACTCTGGTTGTAAACTAGTGCCATTGCCTAATCACGAAAATGACCAGATGTAAGCAAATTTGTTTGGATAAGAGGAAGGCAATGTCGGTATCAGTAATTTATCGTCCTAGCTCTATCCCCTAAAGTACTTTCAAATGCTGGGAAGAGTTACGGATTAAGAGGTTCGGATGAAAACCAAAGACACTGCAACCCTTCAGGACTGTTTGGGCCTCTGCTATAGTAGAACAGAAGAGTAGGAGGTGCGGTGGCCTTTACCTTGCAGCAGTCCTGACAGAAGACGGAGGGGGTTCCCAGGAGGCCCAGGACCTCCCCACACAGCAGGCACTGGGACAGGCCGTTTCCCATCGCACTCTTCTTCATGTTGTCCAGACGCTCCACCAGCCTCCTGGGACACACACACAGTTACAGCCTGGACACAGAGGCTAAAGTTGGCTATGTGCTGCAACTGACAGCTTAAGGATAGTCAGTCCAGATAAACTACCAGAAAGTAATGGTTTTATTCTAATATTCAATAGCATTACCAACCGTGTGTGTGTGTGGTGTGTGTGCGCACTCGTCCTACCCGATGCGGAGCTGTTCAATCTGTTCCAGCTCCTCAGCCCTGCGGATGACACTAAGGATGTTCTCCACCTCCTGCTGCTCCAGCATCTGGCTCTTCCTCTGTCGGTCTGTACAGAAGGTGTGCACAGACCAGCCCGTCTGCAGCCTGGGACACAGACACACAAGTTGCTTTACGCTGTCCATCAATTGTATTGTTTATTATTTTGTGTCATTACATGTGGCAGTGCAGGCCAAAGTGAAACATGTGATGTGACTAACACAGGCTTATGCATGCATGTATGCACACCTTACGAAAATATATATCCTGCTAGCAAAAACATCTCCTTATATGACTGCACTGCAAACAAACAAACTAGTCCACGTGCAAAATGTTGTACCAAATACATAAATATACATTAAAGTGTAAGATCAAATGGTCACAACGGTTTTATAAAACAGAACTGCCAATGCTATCAAAAACAAATTTCAACAAAACACACACTCAGTTCTACAACAAAAACAATACAATGTGATGAAAATAATGATGGGCACAGGAATACTTTACACAACCAAAACACTTCCACATATTCAGTGAGATGGTAGAGATTTGAGTGCATACTCACTTGGCTCGAAGGGCCAGCTGCCGGTCATTGGGACAGACCCACTGATCGTTCCCTGTCCCAAACATGGCCTCCGTCATCTTTTGAGGGCTGATGACAAGGGCTGCAAAAACACATCCAGACACTCAGTCCTCCAAAATGAAAGGCTACATCCCATCTGGGAAAAATCACTGTATTTCCCCCTCTAATTGATGTTAGTTGTATATACCTGTGGCTTTTATACATAGATCGCAATAGGAAAGAAGTTTGTATGACATTATCAAAATAAGTTGATAAATGAATGAGTACTGCTTGGGAAGAAAGTGAAAACCAAACCAACAACATGATAAAAGGGACCTACAGATAATAAACTGAACAATCAGTAACCAAAGAAGGTGCAGGGTTATGTTCATGAAGAGAGGGACATAAAAGTGTGCCTCTTTCTCGGCTCTGAAGGGCAGCTAGCAGCTAACACTAGACCAGACGTCAGTTCTGGGTGGATCTTCACAGTGTAGGCAGAAATACAACAGTCTCTGTTGCCAGTGACAACTTGAATAATGCTTCCTGCCTTGGGCAACAGATCGCTGTGATAGTCACGCCATCTCCATTTGTCTGCCAGACAATACATCCATTGTTTCAGTTGTTTGTGTAATATCTTCAACAGATGTGCGTATGAAATGGTCCACTCACGTGAGCCAACAACAAAATGTTATACAGTGCCTTCGGAAAGTATTCAGACCCCTTGACTTTTTCCACATTTTGTTAGGTTACATTCTTATTCTACAAACATACAAAAAAAAATGTCACTCATCACTCTACCCCATAATGACAAAGCAAAAACTGTTTTGTAGAAACTTTTGCAAATTTATAAAAAAAAAATATATATATATATATATTTTTTTATATTACATAAGTATTCAGACCCTTTACTCAGTACTTTGTTGAAGCACCTTTGGCAGCAGTTACAGCCTCGAGTCTTCTTGGGTATGACGCTACAAGCTTGGCACACCTGTATTGGGGGAGTTTCTCCCATTCTTCTCTGCAGATCCTCTCAATCTCCCTCAGGTTGGATGGGGAGCGTTGCTGCACAGCTATTTTCAGGTCTCTTCAGAGATGTTTGATCGGGTTCAAGTCCGGGTTCTGGCTAGGCCACTCAAGGACATTCAGAGTCTTGTCCCGAAGCCACTTCTGCGTTTTCTTGGCTGTGTGCTTAGGGTCGTTGTCCTATTGGAAGGTGAACCTTCGCCCCAGTCTGAGGTCCTGAGCGCTCTGGAGCAGTTTTTCATCAAGGATCTCTCTGTACTTTTCTCCGTTCATCTTTCGCTCGACCCTGACTAGTCTCGAAGTCCCTGCCGCTGAAAAGCATCCCCACAGCATGATGCTGCCACCACCATGCTTCACCATAGGGATGGTGCCAGGTTTCCTCCAGGCGTGACGCTTGGCATTCAGGCCAAAGAGTTCAATCTTGGTTTCATCAGACCAGAGAATCTAGTTTCTCATGGTCTGAGAGTCTTTAAGTGCCTTTTGGCAAACTCCAAGCAGGCTGTCATGTGCCTTTTACTGAGGAGTGGCTTCTGTCTGGCCACGCCACCATAAAGGCCTGATTGGTGGAGTGCTGCAGAGATGGTTGTCCTTCCGGAAGGATCTCCCATCTCCACAGAGGAACTCTGGAGCTCTGTCAGAGTGACCATCGGGTTCTTGTTCATCTCCCTGACCAAGGCCCTTCTCCCCCGATTGCTCAGTTTGGCCGGAAGGCCAGCTCTAGGAAGAGTCTTGGTGGTTCCAAACTTCTTCAATTTAAGAATGATGGAGTCCACTGTGTTCTTGGGGACCTTCAATGCTGCAGAAATGTTTTGGTACCCTTCACCAGATCTGTGCCTTGACACAATCCTGTCTCGGAGCTTTACGGACAATTCCTTTGACCTCATGGCTTGGTTTTTGCTCTGACATGCACTGTCAACTGTGGGACCTTATATAGACAGATGTGTACCTTTCCAAATCATGTCCAATCATTTGAATTTACCACAGGTGGACTCCAATCAAGTTGTAGAAACATCTCAAGGATGATCAATGGAAACAGGGTCTGAATACTTATGTAAATGTGTTTTAGAATAAGGCTGTAACGTAACAAAATGTGGAAAAACTCAAGGGGTCTGAATACTTTCCGAAGGCACTGTACATATTGTCCACAAATATGTTTTTTTCTTTAGAGTTTTTTTATTTTCTTCTTTACTTTTGGAGTGCACAAACATGTGCTACTAGCAGAACAATAATGTCCAGTAAATGGGTAGCTCCTGGAGAAACCCATTACTGATTATCATTTCAAATGGAAAAGGATGAAAGAAGGACTTCAAAAGAAAGACAATTTCTATCCAAACAAACAGAAGACATTCTTGTTGGGAGCGTATTGATGTGCGTATCTTAGAGGGCAATGCAAAGGTAAAAGCACTTGTCTCTGTGAAGTAGAGCAGAGGCAGCTATTTATCACAGACCCAAACAATGAGTCACCCAGTTCTCTGGTATGTGGGCACACATGCAATCAACCATTACAGCTGATTTCACCCTGCTGGAAAATGGTTTGCTTTACTGGGTACTGTTGCCAGACTATCAATAAAGAATTATAAGCACTGTGGAAAACATCTGACTACTTCCCTCATACAGGAGGACAGCACAATAACCCACATGCACACACACAACATTCATTCATTCACATTGTGTACCCTAGTTATATCATGTCAATATCCAAGTCACTGTCCTAATTTCTAAATGTTGTTGGGACACACCAAGGGTCTGAGTGCCCCACTCTCATTTGCTCGAAGAGGGGTTTATTTAAAATCATGCATTCTTTGATTCTCCTGCCTTCCCCTCTTGTTCCCACACTAACAAACACACTAGATGCAGAGCCCCTGGTGTAAAGAGTCATGCTCCCCTGCTCTAACCACACATAGGCATACTCCCCCGGAGACCGGGGTTCAATCCCTCCACCATCCATTCAAGCTATTTTCCCCCAATTGCTTGTATCCCTCTGTCATTTAAAATTAGTCTCAAAGTGAAAATACTTATGGAGGGGAATTCTAAAAAAATTAAAAATTGCTTTAAAAAACAACACTGATAAAACCTGTACACTGCGATGGACTTTTAAATGGGATTTGGGCATGATCTGACATCTGCAGAGACGTTTACAGCGAACATAATCTCCATAAAATGTCCTTTAAACGTCATTGTGTGCAGGTCGTTAATCTTTTAGATTGAATCCAATGCCGGCCTCAGGCTACATCTCAGTAGACAAAAGTAGAAACCTCTCCTTGCTTTTTCTCTTTCATTAGCACTAATCGTAAAAGACAGGGCCACATATATCATATAGACTTCTATGAATTGACCAGGACAGAAGCCACTTTAGACAATTTAAATATGCATTTTATGAACATGTTGCTTATTTTTTTTACTCTTTCCCTCGCTAACACTTACAACCTCCCTACCACTAATATTATCTGGTTATAAGCCTAAAACGCCATGTCACAGCGATGCCACCGTGTCCTTTTTAATGGCTGAGCAATTAACTATATTTACTTTTCCAACCCACCTAATGGCCTTTGTTCAACACTAGTGCTTTGGCCTCAGGCCCGGCTGACTGCATTATATACGGCTTGAGCACAGCAAACAAAAACAGCAGAATTCATTAGGACACACACACGTTTACAGGCTTCAGATTGAATTTGCCAAGTCAGTGAGATTTAACTTTACGTCAAGTTTCATAGTGCTCACAAACTTCCCTATTTTACCCTGTAACATCCTGTACATAAACAATTTTCAAGAAGAAAATATAATATTGTCAGCTTGCTACATCAGGTAATTCAATTATGTATTTGCATACAAAGAGATATGCTCAATCTATAACACACTGCCTTGTGATGTACCTCAAACTTCAAAGTGCACTTACTGAATCCAAGGGAATAATCTTTTTCCAACGAATTGGCCATAAAACAGAGCAACATTAAAGCAGTCATCATCGGCTCTTATCTGGCAGTAATACCTGACTGATTCCCAGCACACAGGTCTCAACCTAATCAAACAGTCTTTCCATTACATAAGCGACAGGGCTCTATCTAGCTCTGGGGAATCGCTCTCTGCACCTTTTCAAGGGGAAAACCTGCCTTGGCACGAAAGATGTTGGCAAACAGAGTCAAAGGAAGGGAGAGAAACTGTTTACCTGTAAAATCTCCCCCTTCATTTGAACGAGCGAGAGCAATGAGAGCCGGTTAAATCGCCTAGCTCCGGGCTAGGCCTGTGAACAAACGAAAGGCGAGAGCGAAGAAAATGAGGAAACAGTAAAGTCTGGGGTTGAGCTCTCAGAAGTAGTTCACAGCCTGCCTGCCTTGTCTGACAGGCTGGTCACATGACAGAAGAACAATTCCCCACAGAAACATCCTGTTCCTTCCAGATTAATGCACTGTAAGTCACTGATTTATAAGAGTGTCTGCTAAATGACTACTGTAAATGTAAAACAGACTACTGTGATTGACTGGGATAACAAAAGCAGTGCCATGGCTCTCCAATCGATGCAAGCCCACAGGAAAAAGCTAACACGGTTACCATTGACATGCTCTTTCCAAAAATTCTGAGAGTCTCCTTTATTTTATTTGGGGAGAGCCCTTTGTGCACAATGCAAGTAATTGAAATTAAATATGACAGTGTTGCTTTCAATTGCTGTAATTCGTCTGTTGTTGTAATTTGTATGCCCTGGCTTTAAGTCATTGAGGTTGAATGTGAACTCTACCTGAGGACCCAGACCTCTGTGATTCCAGAGGGGATGATATACAAACGATGTGTAGGCATCAAATTAACTCTAAATATATTTTGACTGAAATTAATACATTTGTTTTTGTGGCCCATTCAAAACATACTGTTTTTAGCACATGCAACCACATAAAGCAATGCAATTGCCATCAAAATTTTACCAGGTGGGATATAAAAAGTGATACAAATGTGATTTCCCCACCCCCCAAAAAAATAAAAAATACAATGCCTACTTGCCTAGAGATCATATCATGTGTAGCACAGATTTTACCGTCAGGCCTCTGACAGATTGCTAATCTACCTGCTTGTTTTTAGGCGATTTTAGAGTGGCGCGTTTCTAGTGACAACAACTTTACTTATACAGTCTGTCCCTACACAGGATTCCGTGTCTCTTGTGGTTTTTGTACTTGTTAATTTAGGCGGCAGGTAGCCTAGCGGTTAGAGCGTTGGGCCAGTAACCGAAAGGTCGCTGGTTTGAATATCTGAGCTGACAAAGTGAAAAATCTGTCGATGTGCCCTTGAGCAAAGCACTTAACCCTAATTTGCTCCAGGGGCGCCATTCTACTATGGCTGACCCTGTAAAATAACAAATTTCACTGCACCTATCTGGTATATAAAACAAATTATGTCTTTGAGGCATTTTCTGTGCTGTAAACTATTCTTTCCAGTTCAAAAGTATTGACACGTTGCGCTCAAATCTTCAGTCAGCTATTTAATTGATGAATGAAAATAACATCTAAAAATGTACTTCAGGCCAAGGTGCATGTTTGTATGCATAAAGTATGTGCCATGAATTGTAGCTCATACAAAACATTGCTTTAGCTTGAAATACTATTAAGAGGTACATGTTATCTTACGTGTGTCCGGAGATAGAGGTTAATAGCGGATCCTTGAAGGTTTTCCCTTTCTCTGCTCCAGCTGCTCCTGGAACTTCACGTGAACTCGGCACAAAAACAATGAAAACATCCAATTCAGGGAGGCTTTGGAGTGGACTTCTTGTACTGTTTCCTCCTGTCAATTTATTATAAGGGATATGGGAACAACAATTTCTAGTGCCACAGGGAGCAAACGACAGGCATGCAGTGGTCTAATGTTCCCTCTGCTTCCTGGTGTCGTTTCCTTGACACAGTGGACGAGTGGTTGGGGTTATCTGGTGCCGGCTGTTCCCCCCACCCACCAGAGAAAGCCATTAGCCCACGTGTGCTCTGCTCTCCACGGCAAACAGCAGCCTCTCTCTCTGGTCTTATGGAAATGGTAGAGAGACAGAGAGAGGATTGCATGTGTTCGACCAGTGTTCTGTGGCATGATAGACATCATATTTACATGTTCCATTATAAAGCCATTGCTGTCATCATAATTGTGTATAATGCAATGATTGTATTTAGTGCCATACATGTATGAGCATTAAGAAATATACAGTGCATTCGGAAAGTATTCAGACCCCTTGACATTTTCCACATTTTGTTAAATTACAGCCTTATTCTAAGATGGATTAAATAAATACAAATCCTCCATCAATCTACACACAATACCCCATAATAACAAAGCTAAAACAGGTTATTTGAATTTTTTGCAAGTGTATTAAAAATAAAAAACAGAAATACCTTATTTACATAAGTATTCAGACCCTTTGCTATGAGACTCGAAAACTGAGCTCAGGTGCATCCTGTTTCCATTGATCATCCTTGAGAGATCCTTGATGAAAACCTGCTCCAGAGCGCTCAGGACCTCAGACTGGGGCGAAGGTTCACTTTCCAACAGGACAATGACCCTAAGAAACACAGCCCAAGACAATGCAGGAGTGGCTTTGGGACAAGACTCTGAATGTCTTTGAGTGGCCCATCCTGAGCCTGGACTTGAACCTGATCGAACATCTCTGGAGAGACCTGAAATAGCTGTGCAGCAACGCTCCCCATCCAACCTGACAGAGCTTGAGAGGATCTACAGAGAAGAATGGGAGAAACTCTCCAAACACAGGTGTGCCAAGCTGGTAGCATCATACCCAAGAAGACTCGTGGCAAAGGTGCATCAACAAAGTACTGAGTGAAGGGTCTGAATACTTATGTAAATGTAATATCAGTTTTTTATTTTTAATACATTTGCAAAAGTTTATCAAAAACTGTTTTTGCTTTGTCATTATGGGGTATTGTGTGTAGATTGAGAAGGAAAAAAACAATTTAATCAATTTTAGAATAAGGCTGTAACATAACAAAATGTGGAAAAAATCAAGGGGTCTGAATACTTTGCGATGTTGGCAATTATTTTAATGATTACTTCATTGGCAAAGTGGGCAAACTTAAGCAGGAAATACCAACATCGAACAGTGAGCCATTGTATTCATGCATAAAAAAGCAAATAATAAAAGAAAAGCATTGTAAGTTTGAATTTTGTAAAGTAGACTGTAGAAATGTGTCCACAAATATATTAAATGCATTGTTAAATGTACATGTTTATTTCTTAATACTCGTACTTTAAGGCATTAAATGCAATCATTGCATTATACACAATTATAATGACTGCATGCTTTATAATCTATTCGAGACACAAATAGGATAAAGGTGTGATGACCATCAGGATTAAAACAGCTGAAAACTAAAGTCAATCATGCATAGGTCAACTTCATTATAAGGGATCAATGAGCATGCCCCTCAAAAGTATCTAAGCAACTAAAGGGCAAGCATCGCTAATCACAACAGAGCACATCTGTCACACACTCTCACTCACTCACCTCTCAGGAAAAACATTGGCCAAGTCAGTTGCATTATGTCCTTACATCTACAATAACCACTCAGATCAGAGGGGTAGGTAGGTTTACTGTGGATCTGTTTCAGAAGGCATGATGTCTTTAGGATGGGTTTACTATGGATCAGTTTCAGAAGACATGACAAACGAAGGCCTACCACGCGTGCTACCCGGAAATGTAGCAAAATAGCCTATCAATTAAAAAAATGTACTAAGGAACGCACAGTGAAAAGATTTACATTGGTTCTCCTATATCTAGGAGAACCAAGGTTCCAAAAGATGGGCCTAAAATAGTGTATAAGAGATCATACAAAAGTTTTTGCTGTGACTCTTATGTGGATGATTCCAATTATTAATAACATGCACCTGTTAAGAAACTGACTGTTAGAATTGTTAAGGCTCCATGGATTGATGAGGAATTGAAACACGGTATGGTTGAAAGTGATGGGGTAAAAGGAGTGGCTAATAAGCCTGGCTGCACATCTGACTGGCTGACTTACTGCAAATTGAGAAATTATGTGACTAGACTTAACAAAAAGAAGAAGAAACTGTATTATGAAGCCAATAATATAAAGAATGATGGAAAAAAAACGTTGGCGTACTTTAAATGAAATTATGGGCAGAAAGACAAATTCAACAATCAGATGGCTTATTCATCACAAAACCATTTGATGTTGGCAATTATTTTAATGATTACATTGGCAAAGTGGGAAAACTTCAGCAGGAAATACCAACACGAACAGTGAGCCGTCGTATTCATGCATAAAAAAACAAATAATAAAAGAGAAGCATTGTAAGTTTGAATTTTGTAAAGTGTGGAACAGGTGGGAAAATTATTGTTATCGATCAATAATGACAAACCTCCTGGCATTGACAACTTAGATGGAAGGCTACTGAGGATGGTAGCTGACTATATGGCTACTCCTATCTGTCATATCTTTAATCTGAGTCTAGAAGAAGGTGTTTGTCCTCAGCCTGGAGGGAAGCCAAAGTGGTAAATCGGTCTTTACTGGTTCTAACAGCAGACCAATCAGCTTGCTGCCAGCTCTTAGCAAACTGTTGGAAAGAATTGTGACCAAATACAATGCTGTTTCTCTGTAAACAAATTGCACTGACACAAATGACTGATGATTGGTTGAAAGAAATTGATAATAAGAAGATTGTGGGAGCTGTACTGTTAGATTTCAGTGCAGCCATTGATATTATTGGCCATAACCTTTTGTTGAGAAAACTTACACTACCAGTCAAAAGTTTGGACACACCTACTCATTCAAGGGTTTTTCTTTATTTTTACTATTTTTTACATTGTTGAATAATAGTGAAGACATCACAACTATGAAATTACACAAATGGAATCATGTAGTAACCAAAAAAAGTGTTAGACAAATCAAAATATATTTTATACTTCAGATTCTTCAAATAGCCACCCTTTGCCTTGATGACAGCTTTGCACACTCTTGGCATTCTCTCAACCAGCTTCATGAGGTAGTCACCTGGAATGCATTTAAATGAACAGGTGTGCCTTCTTAAAAGTTAATTTGTAGAATTTATTTCAGCCAATCAGTTGTGTTGTGAAAAGATGGGGGTCTCTCATGAGGACCACCACAGGAATGGAAGACCCAGAGTTACCTCTGCTGCAGAGGATACGTTCCTTAGAGTTACCAGCCTCAGAAATTGCAGCCTAAATAAATGCTTCACAGAGTTCAAGTCACCAGACACATCTCAACATTAACTGTTCAGAGGGGACTGTGTGAATCAGGCCTTCATGGTCAAATTTCTGCAAAGAAACCACTACTAAAGGACACCAATAAGAAGAAGAGACCTGCTTGGGCCAAGAAACACGAACATTTGAGATTTTTGGTTCTAACCGGCGTCTTTGTGAGACGTGGTGTGGGTGAATGGATGATCTCTGCATGTGTATTTCCCACCGTAAAGGATGGAGGAGGAGGTGTTATGGTGTGGGGGTGCTTTGCTGGTGACACTGTCTGTGATTTATTTAGAATTTAAGGCACACTTAACCAGCATGGCTACCACAGCATTCTGCAGCGATACGCCATCCCATCTGGTTTGGGCTTAGTGGGACTATCATTTGTTTTTCAACAGGACAATGATCCAACACACCAGGCTGTGTAAGGGCTATTTTGCCAAGAAGGAAAGTGATGGAGTGCTGCATCAGATGACCTGGCCTCCACAATCACCCGACCTCAACCCAATTGAGATGGTTTGGGATGAGTCGGACGGCAGAGTGAAGGAAAAGCAGCCAACAAGTGCTAAGCATATGCGGGAACTCCTTCAAGACTGTTGGAAAAGCATTGCAGGTGAAGCTGGTTGAGAGAATGCCAAGAGTGTGCAAAGCTGTCATCAAGGCAAAGGGTGGCTATTTGAAGAATCTCAAATATAAAATATATTTTTGGTTACTACATGATTCCATATGTGTTATTTCATAGTTTTGATGTCTTCACTATTATTCTACAATGTAGAAAATTGTAAAAATAAAGAAAAACCCTTAGATGAGTTGGTGTTTCCAAGCTTTTGACTGGTAATGTATGTTTTATGACTTTTTAACCTCTGGCATATCATGGATTCAGAGCTATCTATCTAATACAAGAGGGTTTTCTTTAATGGAAGCTTCTTTAATTTCAACATGTAGGGTGTGGTGTACCGCAGGGTAGTTCTCTAGGTCCTCTACTTTTTTCTATTTTTACCAATGACATGCAACTGGCATTAAACAAAGCCTGTGTATGCTGATGATTCAACCATATATGTGTCAGCAACCACTGCTAACGAAGTCCCTGAAACCCTTAACATGAAGTTGCAGTCAGTTTTGGAATGGGTTGCCAGTAATAAAATGGTCCTGAACATCTCTAAAACTAAAGGCACTGTATTTGGTACAAATCATTCCCTAAGCTCTAGACCTAAGCTGAATCTGGTAATGAATGGTGTGGCTGTTGAACAAGTTGAGGAGACTAAATTACTTGGTGTTACCTTAGATTGTAAACTGTCATGGTCAAAACATATAGATTCAATGGTTGTAAAGATGGGGAGAGGTCTGTCCGTAATAATGAGATGCTTCTGGTTTTTTGACACCACACTCCACAAAGCAAGTCCTGCAGGCTCTAGTTTTGTCTTATCTTGATTATTGTCCAACCGTGTGGTCTAGTGCTCTGGCCTAGAACAGAGCGGCACGTCTTGCTCTTCATTGTAATCAGAGGGCTAATATAAATAATATGCATGCCAGTCTCTCTTTGGTAAGACTTGAGGAGAGACTGACTGCATCACTTCTTCTTTTTGTAAGAAACATTAATGTGTTGAAAATTCCTAATTGTTTGCATAGTCAACTTACGCACAGCTCTGACACACACACTTACCCCACCAGACATGCCACCAGGGGTCTTTTCACACTCCCCAAATCCAGAACAAATTCAAGAAAGTGTACAGTATTATATAGAGCCATTTTTGCATGGAACTCCCTTCCATCTCATATTGCTGAAATGAACAGCAAACCTGGTTTAAAAAAACAGATAAAGTAACACCTCATGGCCCAACACCTCTATATTGTTTGTATGTATTGATATGTAGGCTATGTGCGCCGTTTTTGAATGTATGTAGTTCTGTCCTTGAGCTGTTCTTGTCTGTTAATGTTCTGTATTATGTCATGTTTCATGTTCTGTGTGGACCCCAGGAAGAGTACAGTGGCTTGCGAAAGTATTCAGCCCCCTTGGCATTTTTCCAATTTTGTTGCCTTACAACCTGGAATTAAAATTGATTTTTGGGGGGTTTGTATCATTTGATTTACACAACATGCCTACCACTTTGAAGATGCAAAATATTTTTTATTGTGAAACAAACAAGAAATTAGACCAAAAAAAAGAAAACTTGAGTGTGCATAACTATTCACCCCCCCCCCCAAAGTCAATACTTTGTAGAGCCACCTTTTGCAGCAATTATAGCTGCAAGTCTCTTGGGGTATGTCTCTATAAGCTTGGCACATCTAGCCACTGGGATTTTTGCCCATTCTTCAAGGCAAAACTACTCCAGCTCCTTCAAGTTGGATGTGTTCCGCTGGTGTACAGCAATCTTTAAGTCATTCCACAGATTCTCAATTGGATTGAGGTCTGGGCGTTGACTAGGCCATTCCGAGACATTTAAATGTTTCTCCTTAAACCACTCGAGTGTTGCTTTAGCAGTATGCTTAGGGTCATTGTCCTTCTGGAAGGTAAACCTCCGTCCCAGTCTCAAATCTCTGGAAGACTGAAACTGGTTTCCCTCAAGAATTTCCCTGTATTTAGCGCCATCCATCATTCCTTCAATTCTGACCAGTTTCCCAGTTCCTGCCAATTAAAAACATCCCACAGCATGATGCTGCCACCACCATGCTTCACTGTGGGGATGGTGTTCTCGGGATGATGAGAGGTGTTGGGTTTGCGCCAGACATAGCGTTTTCCTTGATGGCCAAAAAGCTCAATTTGAGTCTCATCTGACCAGAGTACCTTCCATATGTTTGGGGAGTCTCCCACATGGCATTTGGCGAACACCAAACGTGTTTGCTTATATTTTTTCTTTAAGCAATGGCTTTTTTCTAGCCACTCTTCCGTAAAGCCCAGCTCTGTGTAGTGTACGGCTTAAAGTGGTCCTATGGACAGACACTCCAATCTCCGCTGTGGAGCTTTGCAGCTCCTTCAGGGTTATCTTTGGTCTCTTTGTTGCCTCTCTGATTAATGCCCTCCTTGCCTGGTCTGTGAGTTTTGGTGGGCGGCCCTTTCTTGGCAGGTTTGTTGTGGTGCCATATTCTTTAAATTTTTTAATAATGGATTTAATGGTGCTCCGTGGGATGTACAAAGTTTCGGATATTTTTTTATAACCCAACCCTGATCTGTACTTCTCCACAACTTTGTCCCTGACCTGTTTGGAGAGCTCCTTGGTCTTCATGGTGCCGCTTGCTTGGTGGTGCCCCTTGCTTAGTGGTGTTGCAGACTCTGGGGCCTTTCAGAACATGTGTATATATACTGAGATCATGTGACACTTAGATTGCACACAGGTGGACTTTATTTAACTAATTATGTGACTTCTGAAGGTAATTGGTTGCACCAGATCGTATTTAGGGACTTCATAGCACGCACCACTTTTCCTTTATTTATTTTTTTACATTATTTGAAACAAGTTATTTTTTTCATTTCACCAATTTGGACTATTTTGTGTATGTCCATTGCATGAAATCCAAATAAAAATCCATTTAAATTACAGGTTGTAATGCAACAAAATAGGAAAAAGGCCAAGGGGGATGAATACTTTTGCAAGGCACTGTAGCTGCGGCTTTCGCAACAGCTAATGGGGATCCTAATAAAATACCAAGAATACTAACAGTGCGAATGAAAGGACAATTTCTGTAGCCTTTTAGGATAGAATCACTTTCAATGTAGGCCTAAAAATGTTTTCCGCGTGCTAGGCTACACCATTCAAGAACGTTTGTAAACAAACTGAATTAATCATGAATGATGATTCAAGAAAACAATTTTTAAACTAACAAATATATCATATTTGAGTCAAATGAACTAATTTGAAATGTTAGGTAACATCATTGAAAATAAATGTGTCTGTATTATGTAAACTAGCAAAAGCAAAAGTCACCTACCATACGGGCTAGAGGAGAAGAAAGGCATTTGAATGAAAGCGTGATTGATTGGATCAACCTACATCAGCAACGCATATCATCTTTTGAGGCCGAAATATTCTCATCCGCGATACAAAATCAAAAGTCAAAATGTTCAACAATTCCTAGTCTGGGCATTTGTAGGTGTTTGTATATAAGCAAATGTCAAAAATATTCAATTCTATGAACAACAACAAAAAATAAATAATAAATAAAAAAGTATTTAAATTCCATCAACCAGGACTCAAACCCAGGTCCATTAACTGTCAAGTCAACACCTTAACCGTTACACCAACTTGACAAGGTCACTAGATGTTGAGTTAGGGTTATTATATTACTCACTTCCTTCAGTAAATCCTTCACGTGTACATGCCTCTCCGATGGCCACCGTTGCGACATCCCACTTCTGACACCAATGTAGCGAACGGAGGGAGTGGGAAGCCACCATCTGAGACCCAGACCTCATTTATGTGGTCTCAAAACCAAGACAATGATATCTAGACTCCATCTCTGGAAAGGGATACTAGGGCTTTGTTCTGTGTATATGTAGCCTTCACAACTGGTCTGATGAAGGAGAGATATGCATAGATGTTGCCTTGACTTCCCTCCCCCCTATCTGTTAGAGAAGGGCCCAGAAATCCATCTGAAAGGTCAGAATCATATTCTCCAGGTTAAGGGCCTCTGGCAGTCAGGGAATCCATTATTGACAACAAATAGAATTAGCAACAAACAGATGGCCAGGCTCAAAGTGCCCCATGTAATTTATTTTCCCCTCCAGCCATTTTGAAACGCCTAGCTTTGCTTCAAGGCAACCTGAAAAGCTTTGATTTGTATTAAGGATAATCTCCCATTTCCTTCTCGAACTCTTGTAGTCCAGATACCAGAAAATCAAGCAATTTGTGGTAGAAAATGTGATTACTATACTTAAGAAAACAACTTGTTGGTGTTGTTTATTGTAAGTCTTATCATTATGGTACCTACTACTTTTCGGATGATATCCAATGTAGCCATGGTGGGGTTAGATTCTAGCCATAAAACAGGGGCCTGTTTAGTGGGGTGCACTACCCAGAATGTTCCATATAGAAATGTGTATAGAGCTGACATTATCCGCTTTTCTGCATTAGAGTGGTCTGTACTTCTCAATACAGTTCTATCTAAACGTTCTGTAGCGTTGCACCCTCTTGAATAAGTCCCAGATGTGCCAGTGTCCTTCACCAGGGTCATAAAAAGATGGGTTGAGTGCCATGGTCACCAAGTATCAATTGAATTTGACAGTAGAACATATTCATCAGTAGTCCATCTTTGATTTTATTCAGCAAAGCATACGCCTATTTTACAAACAGTACAGAAACAAAGGGATTGTCAATCATCATACAAACGGAGCAGCGGTTGTTAATATTTCAATCATGCAACAAGACAAGTGAAAGAATTGCAATGGCATCATACTTGTGTTTTGAGTTGGAGTGTTTTGAGTTGGAGTAAACCATCCACAAATACAATTACTGAGCCACATGAGAGGGAGATCAATATGATCTGAACAACAGCCCAGGAGGCGGTCTGTCTTCTGTCAATTTCCGTTTAATAAGATAGACGTCACCAGAACCATCACTGCCATTTCAGTGCCAGCAATAAAATGAATCTTTCTTCACAGAAAAGCAGGTTGCAAACTGGAATGGAACCAGCCATTGCTAATGCATGGTATTCAGTAGTTTTTATAGGTCACCTACACTGAAAGAAACAGTAAAATTAGTTGTGAGGGCGCATGGATAGAAAACATGAGAAATTCCTTAGGGTGGAAAATGTGGGAGGCTTCATTAAAGACAGGATGATAATATAGTTGATGGTGATGAATGTTGTGAAGGACAAAATATGTAATGACTGAAACAAATGTCTGACTTTAATTTGAGATTCACATAGATCATGACATGCCAATGTTATTGTGGTAGGACCATTTGTGGTAATGGTTGAAATTCAAGCTGAATGTTATTTACCTTATTACATAGATACCGTCCCAATTGTTGAGCTGTAGTTTAAGATGGCATATATCGTCAGTTAACTGTAGGTAGGATGCTAAGGTGAAGAGACATAGAACATGTTGGGATAGAGAGGAAAAATGTGAACGTGAACAAACATTTTCTCAACAGATGACAAGTTTATTTCAACTCAAATAATTTACAGCAGTTGCACTGGAGAAAAGTTTTGGTCATCGTCACCTTTGACCCCTTGTATTCACATTTAAAACAGAGGAGCTATTTACTGTGATGGTGCAGCAGGTTAGTGCAAAAGGCACAATGTGCTGCTATAAGAATGGAAGGAAAACAAAGGTCAAATGGTTGCCATGCACAGTATTGGGGGATGGATGTCATAACATAAGGTCAGGGTGAGAACACATAAATATCCTGTGGTGTGAGAGTTAGGTCAAATTCATATCTAACATACCTCCTGTACCATCATACAAATGTTGGTGATCGTGTGGTCAATTATACTACATACAGGGGGTGACGAAACCCAGAGACACCTTTGGCAAGCTAAGCCTGATGTGACGCCTATGGAGATGATAATTCTGAATGACAGGGTATGATGAGCATGAACTGAAAACAAAAGACAGACATCAATCCATCTACTTTGAGGACAAAAACAACAAAGTAATATTAAGGCAATCTTTAAAATGGCCAGGCATTTTCCACAGGGAAGAAAATGAGAATCATAGCATTACAATGAATGGTTGCTGGGCTAACAACTCAATGCTTTGTCACCCATCAACCCAGGACAGTCTTTACTCTCTACTTATGAAGTGACACACTACAATGTATCTATAATGCAATATATTCAGCCCTGACTGAAAACACTAGACAAAAAGGATATGGATGCACCCACCTACAGCTGCATAGTCTCAACCTTAACATGAACTTCAGAACTAACAAGATACAGGAGATATCAGTGGAATTATGCAGTGCTATGGAGGGGGGAAGCATGTATTGTATGCCACGCTCAGTTAGCTACTGTAGGAAAACCAAGTTGATATGACAGCACCCTTAAAACCCATTGAAAATGAAACTCGAAAACCAATTCTCAAAATGATAAGGGATCAATTCAATCATCTGCAAATAAAACAAAGCTACAAGCTAGGATGTCTTTTGAGAAATTAATTGACAGATGAAAAATACGCAATTTAAAAAAGGAAGTAATTGCAACAAGAAAAACAATATAATGAGAATACTGTTCTGTCAAAACTGGAAATTAAAGTTTGGGGTAAAGGCTCATTGACAAAACAAAAATCTAAATAAAAAAAGGTACATCACATTTCAAATAGTTTGGAATGAATTGTTTTACATTTAATTATCATAGTTGTAATGCTGGTTCGCTGCTGTAAATTGATTGTGTTGCTTTTACATTCATTAAGTATATCAATAATGGAACAAATTGAAATAATTTTAAATACAGAGGGGAATCAAAATAGATGAATCGTTGCCAGTGAAGCGCTTTATATCATATACAGTAAATCATTCCACAATTACACACTTTTCCATCCCCGGAACCTACATTAAAACAAACATAGTTCTTAAAATAGAGCACAAGCAATTATTAACATGCATCCCAACTTTCAATTACTCAAGGGCCTACCAGTCATCAGCATACACTAAATTCAAGGAAAAATAGCATTCTTTCTGCTATGCATGACAAGATGTCAGAAGCATCACAAAACTTGATTTGAAGCAACAAGCTCAACTTATTGGAATAACATAGGAGTAAAGGAAAACTATGGTTGTAAAAGGAGGAAGATTGAGGTCCACTTGACATAGCCGGGCCTCTTGTCAGTTAAAATGGACCTTCCAGGTGCTATAAAAGGCTTGTGGCCTAAAACCCTTCTGGGGCGAATAAGCCGGCCTTCCACCCACCCACCATTACAGGACTTTCAGAATGCAAGCAAGGATAAACCACTCAAGAACACACAAGTGAATGATGAAGACACTGAAGGGGAAGAGAAAGGCAGCGAAATCATATTTCAGTGTAACAACGGCCCGTTGTCTCGAGGAAATCAAAGGCTTTCACCATACACACATGAAGAGACACAGGAACTTGTATTACCCTGACTGGATTATGTGAGGGTCCAATGTGGGACGAAAATGGGACAAAGACTGGTGACAATGTGGAAGTGCAGTTCCCATTCAGTCAATTTCGCATCAGGACTTCTAGCTTTGCTGATATTGCATTTTGGAATTTTGTCACCAACGGCACGGGGGGCTCAGGCAAACTGTTTCTGTACTGAAATCAAGAGTTCCTACACATATTTACACAGTAGATACAGGCACTTATATGTCTTTGGTTGGAGTGACCCAACATTGCAGAGAAATGCATTCACAGAGCTTTACACCCCAGTATTATTTTCAGGGTTCAGTAGGCAACTGGTCATATTTTCTTCTACTTCCTCCTCGGCTATATTTCAGTTCTGACGGCGATCCTAGAGTTCTTCTTACCCCTCTGACAAGGCCACCTGAGAGGAGAGAAAAAAGAAATTAATGCCGCTGCAGAATCATCCCTCTAACCGACTAGACCGTCACAGCGTACAAATGAGGACCCCAGGGATGTTATGCTGAATAACAGTGTCGTGGGAATTCCCTAATGAGCAGAGTCAACTGTAAAACAGGCGCAACCAGATTTTCGTAGTACTCAGGCATTTCAGGAATGCTCTGTCATAGATACTGTAATCAGACACCTGGAAATCTCAGTGTTTAATTTTCAAGTTTCCGTTTCAAGTTTTAATGTCACATGCACAAGTACAGTGAAATGCCTTTCTTGCAAACTCAAAACTCAAGAGAAATAAGAAGAAATATGAAAAACACAATAAGTAAGCAAGCAAGCAAACATATAGGGTCAGTTCCAATACAATATTTACAATGTGCAGGGATACTGGAGTGATGGAGATAGATATGTATAGGGGTGAGTAGGCAACAGGATGTAAGATAAACAGAGTAGCAGCAGCTTGTATGTGAGTGGGTGTGTGTGTGTGTGTGTGTAGAGTGTGTATATTATGTGTGAGTGAGCAGATGATGGACTGAGTATGTGTGAGTGTGCATAGAGTCAGTGTAAAAATAAAAGGTCAATAAGGATACAAGGTTAGTCTGTGTAGCTATTTCGTTAGCTATTTATCAGTCTTATTGCTTGGGGGATAGAAGCTGAGAGCCTGTTGGTGCCAGACTTGATGCACCGGTACCGCTTGCCGTGCGGAAGCAGAGAGAATAGTCTATGGCTTGGGTGCTTGGAGTCTAACGATTTTCCGGGCCTTCCTACCACACTGCCTGATAGAGATGTCCTGGATGGCAGGGAGCTGGGCCCCAGTGATGTAATGAGCTGTCCGCACCACCCTCTGTAGCGCCATGCGATCGAGGGCGGTGCTATTGCCAAACCAGGCACTGATGCAGCCAGTCAAAATGCTCTCAATGGTACAGCTGAATAACTTTGAGGATTTGAGGGCCCATGCCAAATTTTTTCAACCTCCTGATGGGGAAGAGGCGCTGTCGAGCCTTCTTCATGACTGTGCGCGTGTGTTTGGACCATTTTAAGTCTTTTGGACACTGAGGAACTTGAAGCTCCGTCGATGTTGATGGGGGTGTGCAATTGAGATTGCTTCATCTATGGATCTGTTGGGGCGGTATGCAAATTGAGTGGGTCTAGGGTGTCTGGGATGGTGGAGTTAATGTGTGCCATAACCAGCCTCTCAAAGCACTTCATGATTACAGAAGTGAGTGCTACAGGACAGTAGTCATTATGGCATGAAGCATTAGAGTTCTTGGGGACAGGAATCTTAAAACATGTGGGGATTACAGACTGGAACAAGGAGAGGTTGAAAATGACAGTGAATATGCCTGCCAGCTGTTTTGCGCATGCTCTGCGAACACGCCCTGGAATCGGGCCCTGTGGCCTTGCGTGTGTTGACCTGATTAAAGACCTTTCTCACATCGGCCTTGGTGAGCGAGATCCCCCAATCCTCTCGGTCGGTTACTGCCCTCACACCCGGCACGATGTCGGTGTTGTCAAAGTGTGCATAAAATGCATTAAGTTCGTCTGGTAGAGAGGTATATTTGGGCAGATCACTTCCTTTGTAATCGGTAATGGACTGTAGCCCCTGCCACATGCGGCGGGCGTAGGAGCCTGTGTAATATGATTCAACCTTATTCCTATATTGTCCTTTTGCTCGTTTGATGACTCTGCGGAGGTCATAGCGGGACTTCTTGTACTTATTCCTGTCCTCCACTGTTGCCTCAGGATTGTCTACGATAGCTCTGTGTGCGGTAGCCCGGTCCTTTAGCGCCAACCTCAGTGTTAATACAGGGCTTTTGATTGGAGAAGCAGCGATCCCTCACCGTGGGGACAATGTCGCTGATACATTTTCGAATGAAGCAGGTGACGGTAGTTAGCTCGTCAATGTTATCGGTGGAGTCTCTAAACATATTCCAATCAGCGCTAGCAAAGCAGCATAATCTCAGATTCTGGTGACCATTTCTCAGAGCGAGTCACGGGTACTTCCTGTCTGAATTTCTGCTTGTAAACAGTACGGAGTCATTATCTGATTTGCCGAATGGCGGACAAGGGCGGGCCTTGTAAGCTTGCTTGTGGGTAGAATAACAGTGGTGTAGGACTTTATCGCCCCTAGGGGCATTGGAGACGTGTTGATGAAAATTGGGCATCACGTGTCCTAGTGACACTAAATAAAAATCGCCGACAACCAGAAAAGCAGCCTCGATGTAGGTTTTCTTGCTTGTTTATAGCCTTGTACAGTTCGTTAAGTGCCAGCTTGTTATTTTTCTTGTCCTGAGGTGCAATGTATACAACAGTCACGATAACAGCTGAAAACTCCCTCGGGAGGTAGAAGGGTCGGCATTTTTTGGTTTTATTAACAAAATGACAGTTTTACCCCAGAGACTCATCTTGGCAATATCTTTTCACACTGTCTAATGCGATATAAAAAGGTGACTAGCTGTGTTGTGCTGTGTATTATTGCTCTGTTAGTGGGGGAAATGTATAAACTGACCCAAGATCAGTGTCTAAGGGCAACTTCACCTTACACCTACCTTTTCAGGGCAGAAGTCGGGGTTGGTGGTTGTCCGTACTTTCCCTGGCCGGCCCTTGATGACAGCATAACAGAACATGGTGATGACCATCACAAAGAGGAAGTAGCTGGTGTGCATTAGGTGCAGGTTGATAAGTGAGCGGTCGTCCTACAAAGAGAGAGAAATAGCCTCAGCGACAGGTAAACTCTCTCATGAAGGACGACATACTGTATACTGTACTTGGAAACTGGCTATTTCCTCTAATAGCAAAACCCATTTATTGTTCCTGTCACTTCAAATATAAATATGTTTTAGGAAAACTGGTTGGTAATTGAATAATGCTACTGGTCCCCTAGGATACATCTGGTTAAAGTCAAATGTAATTTAATTGCAAATAGAGCAATATTGCAGAAGCACAATCTTTAGTCATTTAGAACATATTAGCTAATGCTCACTTGGGGATTTAGATTTACAGTTGATATTATGAATGCATTATAGAATTGAATTGGAGAGAACACACAAGGAAGATAAAAATCACTCATTCATGATATATGAAGTTACACATAATTAAACTAGACAAGAGCTTATGTCCAAGGTGTGTACCAAAAACAGTACTTTTCTTCTTAAAGGACTCATTTTGATTACATACATTAGTACACAAAAGTATGTGGACACCTGCTCGAACATTTCATTCCAAAATCATGGGCATTAATATGGAGTTGGTCCCCCCTTTGCTGCTATAACAGGGACTTGCGTCCATTCAGCTACAAGAGCTTTAGTGAGGTCGGGCACTGATGTTGGGCAATTAGGCCTGGCTCACAGTCAGCGTTCCAATTCATCCCAAAGGTGTTCGATGGGATTGAGGTCAGGGCTCTGTGCAGGCCAGTCAAGTTCTTCCACACCGATCTCGACAAAACATTTCTGTATGGACCTTGCTTTTTGCACGGGGGCATTGTCATGCTGAAACAGGAAAGGGCCTTCCCCAAACTGTTGCCACAAAGTCTGTCTAGAATGTCATTGTATGCTGTAGCGTTAAGATTTCCCTTCACAGGAACTAAGTGGCCTAGCCGAACCATGAAAAAACAGCCCCAGACCATTATTCCTCCTCCACCAAACGTTACAGTTGGCACTATGCATTAGGGCACGTAACGTAATTGCCCAACATCAGTGCCCGACCTCACTAATGTTCGTGGCTGAATGGAAGGAAGTCCCTGCAGCAATGTTCCAACATCTAGTGGAAAGCCTTCCCAGAAGAGTGGAGGTTGTTATAGCAGCAAAGGGGGGGACCAACTCCATATTAATGCCATGATTTTGGAATGAGATGTTCGACAAGCATACTTTTGGCCATGTAGTGTATAAGACTTTACTCTCAAAAGTTCTGTCTAAACCCTCAGCAAGATCATCCACAGACACAGTCTGCGTCTGAAATGGCACCCATAGGGCACTGGTTAAAAGCTGTGCACTATATAGAGGATACGATTCCATTAGGGAGTCGGACATAAAATACCACTGCTGCAGACAGTGGCTGCTGACTCACGTCTGGCACAATGACGGTCAGCTTGGGGTTGAGGGTGTGGTACACCTTCCCGATTGCTCCTTTGTAACACCAGAAAGGGTTGTAGTCCTGCGTGTACTTGGTGTCTGAGTCGCGGGCCGTGGTGAAGATCTTGTACCAGGACGTGGCGTTGGTGTACGTCTCTGGGACACAGTGGGGCGGCTGCCTGGAAGGCAACATTTAATACACTTTAATACCTTGCCCTGTTCCATTTTATTTTGTTATGGTCAGGTGACGTGGTCATGAAAAATCTCTGGGTTCTGTGTTAAGACTATTCTGTTTGGACCATGACGTTTCGCACCAAAGCTTAGTATTCAGTTTGATAAAACGTTAATTTAATACAAAATACAAATGTCCCCTTGTACCATAGGACGACTGATATTCTACGAACAGTGTGCACTTAGTTGTCACAGTGTTACTGATGTGAGGTTATTCACTGTCATGAGCAATTGACTGATGATCAGTTTTATTCCAATGTCAAATATTTGTACTATTTCACTATACATATTACAAGATTGCCTAAATGATAGTCCAACATTGACTTTCAAATACCGGGCCTAGTCATGAAATACAAAGATAATTTAGTATATGGATGCATCACAATTCAGGGGTATAGTGGCACTCACACTGTGACAGGGAAGACGTTGCTGGCAGCAGTGATGGTCATACAGGTGCTAAACACCACTTGCTCACAGTGGCCGTGCAGCACGCACTCATCAGAATTCCATGACGCTGGCAGCGTGAAGGTGATGTTCATCTCCTCGTGGGCGTCCCTGCCTTTGAGGACACACACGTAAGCAATATTCCCTCTAAGCTGCGTGCGCGCAGCTCCCCTCGGACTGCCGCGCAGAAGAAATATGAGCCCGTGCAGAGAATCACGAGATTGAACTTCACTCAACTTAATACCAGGTTCCCCTTTAGTTAACACTATCAATGTTTCGCTCTACTGTGGGAATTGTGATCGAATCAACGCAATATTAGCCACTTTCAATGTAATATACCAAAACAAAAACAAACTATGCAAGATTTAGTATGCAAAACTAACTGTGCAAGAGATTTTCTTGTAGGCAGTGCGCATTGAAGTAGGATACTATTGCATTGACAGGCACGACTCAGGCCCATACTCTACACAGATTGAATCACCATAACCAATCAGAGCTGCAGTAGGCCTATATGCAAATAGCCATTGCCATATATGGATCTGTGCCATTCACTTTGAACTGGACTGTGTTTAGGCTACAGTATGAGCGGTCTGAGTAGATGCGCTTGTTTTGAGCTCAAAGTGAGAGCTGCATGTAGCCACGTGTGCACATTTGTTCATATTCTTTGCTAGTTAGTGAGTTATTAGCCCAGTTATAGCTAATTTCTAGTCAACAATGGGGAGTGGTTGCTTCCAACAAGAGCACAATATGTGTGCATTTCTAGCCATCTTTGAAAAGCAAGTCAGGTAAAGAGCTTTTTTATGTCTTAAAGTGGAAGTGTTGTATTTTGAGACGGTCTTGAATAAGCTAAGTAGCCAATAGGCAGAGCGTAGAATAATTTGTCTGATTGTCTGTAATAATTGTATGGGAATAATAATACATTTTATTTTGTAAAGTGGTTTCTTGCATCAAACACAACATTTTCAGTCAACACCTTGTCTGAAGTACAAGTGCATACACAGGTTAATGTCAAGCCCTGCATGTTTTTTTTTTTTTTAAGTCTCATGGAATGTAAGCATTGAACACCACAGATACGCTGCTACTGTAAGCAATTTCCATGTTAAAATGTTACGAGATGCATTTTTCTCCATTGTTTTAGATGGAAGGCTGCTCTGGTAGGCCTACATTATGACTAAATAGCCAAAGTAGCCTACTTAGCCACTTAAAACGGGTACAGCCTCAGTGTTCACAGTAAATGCGTTGCACAGAATTTTCACAACGTTCAAGTTTGCGCTCAGCAGACCTGATATTTGCTCAGTACCTAATTTTTTGTGCGGAAACATTGCTTGTAAGTACTCCGACAGGTAAAACAGCATCACGGTTGGCCCCTGGACATGTAAAGATTGAGCAGGTGACATGAGCTCCACTGTAAGGAATATGACTTAACATGTGTCCTGCAACAGCCCATATTACCCTCCATCAATACAGTGAGGGAAAAAAGTATTTGATCCCCTGCTGATTTTGTAAGTTTGCCCACTGACAAAGACATGATCAGTCTATAATTTTAATAGTAGGTTTATTTGAACAGTGAGAGACAGAATAACAACAAAAAAATCAAGAAAAACACATGTCAAACATTTTATGAATTTATTTGCATTTTAATGAGGGAAATAAGTATTTGACCCCTCTGCAAAACATGACTTAGTACTTGGTTGCAAAACCCTTGTTGGCAATCACAGAGGTCAGATGTTTCTTGTAGTTGGCCACCAGGTTTGCACACATCTCAGGAGGGATTTTGTCCCACTCCTCTTTGCAGATCTTCTCCAAGTCATTAAGGTTTCGAGCCTGACGTTTGGCAACTCGAACCTTCAGCTCCCTCCACAGATTTTCTATGGGATTAAGGTCTGGAGACTGGCTAGGCCACTCCAGCACCTTAATGTGCTTCTTCTTGAGCCACTCCTTTGTTGCCTTGGCCGTGTGTTCTGGGTCATTGTCATGCTGGAATACCCATCCACGACCCATTTTCAATGCCCTGGCTGAGGGAAGGAGGTTCTCACCCAAGATTTGATGGTACATGGCCCTGTCCATCGTCCCTTTGACGCGGTGAAGTTGTCCTGTCCCCTTAGCAGAAAAACACCCCCAAAGCATAATGTTTCCACCTCCATGTTTGACGGTGGGGATGGTGTTCTTGGGGTCATAGGCAGCATTCCTCCTCCTCCAAACACGGCGAGTTGAGTTGATGCCAAAGAGCTCGATTTTGGTCTCATCTGACCACAACACTTTCACCCAGTTCTCCTCTGAATCATTCAGATGTTCATTGGCAAACTTCAGACGGGCCTGTATGTGTGCTTTCTTGAGCAGGGGGACCTTGCGGGCGCTGCAGGATTTCAGTCCTTCACGGCGTAGTGTGTTACCAATTGTTTTCTTGGTGACTATGGTCCCAGCTGCCTTGAGATCATTGACAAGATCCTCCCATGTAGTTCTGGGCTGATTCCTCACCGTTCTCATGATCATTGCAACTCCACGAGGTGAGATCTTGCATGGAGCCCTAGGCCGAGGGAGATTGACAGTCTTTAGTGTTTCTTCCATTTGCGAATAATCGCACCAACTGTTGTCACCTTCTCACTAAGCTGCTTGGCGATGGTCTTGTAGCCCATTCCAGCCTTGTGTAGGTCTACAATCGTGTCCCTGACATCCTTGGAGAGCTCTTTGGTCTTGGCCATGGTGGAGAGTTTGGAATCTGATTGATTGATTGCTTCTGTGGACAGGTGTCTATTATACAGGTAACAAACTGAGATTAGGAGCACTCCCTTTAAGAGTGTGCTCCTAATCTCAGCTCGTTACCTGTATAAAAAGACACCTGGGAGCCAGAAATCTTTCTGATTGAGAGGGGGTCAAATACTTATTTCCCTCATTAAAATGCAAATCAATTTATAACATTTTTGACATGCGTTTTTCTGGATTTTCTTGTTGTTATTCTGTCTCTCACTGTTCAAATAAACCTACCATTAAAATTATAGACTGATCATTTCTTTGTCAGTGGGCAAACGTACAAAATCAGCAGGGGCTCAAATACTTTTTTCCCTCACTGTATATGTCATTCAATTCACATGTAAAGTTGTATTTTGGGGGGGAAACACACACTGACTGCATGGATTTTTCTGACATTGAAATCTTTGGGCGGCCAAAAAAACTATTGGGATGGAAAAACACTGAATGTAAACTACTTAAATCAGATTTCAAGTATGTAGAAAAGACAATGGACCTATATATATTTTTTTATAATATCATATTTGAGAACTAACTACCTAGATAAAAGTCAGGGATAATTTAAAATTCCAAAAACAATGGATTTAGCAGTATTGATTTTATTATTATGTTTGAGAGAAAAGAACAGTACTTGCCATGGCAAAACGCATAGAATTTTAGGAAATTTGCTTTAAAAACTGCAAAATTCTATCAGCTCAATGGCAGACTATGTAGAATAGCATGAAATAAGCTTTAAATCTGAAAATAATTTTCTCAACTTCATGGAGAAATTTGTAGAATTGCAGGAAATTGGCTTGAATTCAATAATGTCTCTACACCGCCAAGATGATGGCCTTTAAAATGATGCCACGCCTCCTACCACCCCCTAAGCCCCTTTTGATCCAGAAAACCCTGGACTGCAAACATACATACTCAAACAGTCAGACAGCTTTGAGACTGGCCTGCTATGCCCATGCAAAGCCTGGCCTGCAGGTGACATGCACAGAGAAGGCATTTGGCATTGATTTCTAATAATCCTTATGTTGACAAGGGACTATTGTTTCAGTTGAGCCGCAAAATGCTAAAAAAAACGGAAAACAATACATCAATACCTCTTCAGTCTGGGCCTGAACCGCACTCCCTAGCAACAGAGGCCGACGGCACTTTGTTCTGCTCCCTACCACGGGACAGACTGGGAGGAGTATCCGGACTACTAGCGACTGATTGACTATACAATGCTTCACTGTTCACTTCCACTGAGCCACTCTTTAAGCTCCCCGTGAAAAGTGGTAACTCAAAACCGATCGATAAAGGATTGACTGAACCACCAAAGAACTGGCTAACAGCAACACCCAGAGTCCTGAGAAGTTGTGACAAAAACACAAAACAAATGCTTACACAAAGGATGGCTACTTACAGTCATAAAGCCACCGCTTTCCTGCATCCACCTGCAGGTGAAGCGAACACACAACTAAAATAATAATGTATTGGCTTGGACTGTCAAATAACACACTTCAACACAAAGGAGATTTTTTAGACTTTGCATCCACCATAGTTGCTGGACCTGTGCTGAAAAGGACAATGTGAAAGAAAACATTTGAGCAGTTCGGCACGATAGTGTGAAAAGGATTAATACACATAGACCCTGTAACATGTGGAGGAAGTAGGGACTGAAGACGCAAGTGGACTCACCAGCCAGGCCGACCTGTCCCACCAGCACGGTGGCGTAGAGGTGGGTGATGTTACGCGAGTAGCCCCCAAAAGGCCTCAGTGGGTCCAGGGTAAGGGTGATGGGCACAGAGATATTGATTGGGCCCGGGTCCTCCAGAAGCAGCGGGGCCTGCGTGCTGGAGCGCGCCTGGCCGCTGGTCACCGTGCTTTCGGGCGTGTTTGACTCGTTCAGGCTGTGCTTGAGCGTCTCATTCTCTGATACGCAGAAGTCAATCTCGTTGAAGCGCAGCAGGAAGATGTTCCAGTCCTGGAGAAGAAGGGGAGGAGACTAAGCCATACATCTATCCATATGTGGCTCTGGTCTTGAATAGCACAGCTTATGGCTGTTTACTATTTTTTTATAATCATCACCAATAGTATGTTAGGTTAATTGTGACTATCACATCACAATTCATGAAATGAGCTTGGCTAAATGAACTAATAACTTTGATGTACGACAGCCATGTATAGTTCAACTTCAGAAATCAAGAAACCTCCTGCTGCATGGGTTTTGTACATGTTCCTATGATAGCATCAGCATTGATTTACCAGTGGGAGGTGTGTCCCTCCTACCTCAGTCATCTCTGGGGATTTTATCTCCTTGATCTTGAAGAAGTAGCCGATGGTGAGGAAGGCGATGGCCACGGCGCTGACGCTGACCATAAAGATGACCAGTGGCGGACGATTATTGATGTAGCTCCTCAGGTTCTCCAGAGGATTCAACAGGTACACCTGCAGACAGACAAGGCACGCACACTTAATTTGATTTCACTGTGCCTCAGGCTCACACAATGCCAGGTCTCAACGCATCAAGCTTGATGAAAAGTGTCACGAAGACAAACACAATGGACACAAATACTCAAAGGCATTTGCTGTGTGGCTAACTGGAGAAAATAATGAGCTTGAGATACTGGCAGAAACTTTATGAAAAAACAGCATGGTTGATTAGCTCAACTGGGGCACAGAGAGGGATTGTTTATGACAATCATTAATTTGCATTTGCTCCACAAAGAAGTGGTTTTCATGGTTCAAGAAACGTATTGCTGCAAAGCGGGAAGAAACAGTATTAGAGTTTGGCATCCTTGTCAGAAAACAAATGAATTAGATGGCGTGAGGTAATGAGAATGTCTACTTACCTTTTTCATCAAAGACATGAACACACATCTGACATAACTCCATAGTGAATTGCGTGAGTACATCACTGGGCCCTCAACAGGGCTGCCAAACCACTATGCACGTTGCCAAAGAGAAACTATTGCGCTGCTTCCCCGTTCTTTGAATACAGCGAAAATGCCTGAAAGTCAATGTCCTTAGTTCAAGCTCACACTAAATGGGGTGCCATGCAACCTTGCATAAGACCTGAAAGACAAGGGATACTCCTGTTGAAACATGCTGCACACACTTTGATTGTTGTTGTTTTTTTCCTTAAGGATCTCTTTTAGCCTCATCACAGGCTGCTTGTTGGCAAGTTCTTCGGGATCCAATTTGACAATATAAAGGCATGAATGACAACAATAAACCTTGGTTGGTACAATTCTAGTTGAGTTGGTTTACATAGCTAACTAGCTCCCCATCTATCTGCCAAGTAAAGTAGAATTACATTACTAAACGTTAGCTTGCGCTGGTTGCATATTAAAAACGACAAAAATTCACAAACGTTAGCTAGTAGTTAGGTAGCTAGTTAATTCAAAATGACCTGTGTCGATGTGAGTATGATATAGTTAGCTAACTATGGCTGCAATTAGTTAACGTTAGCTAGCTAACGTTAATAAATGTAATATACATGAATGGCAAGACACTGCCACTGGTAATGATTTTAGCTAGTTTGTTAGCTAACATGTGGATTGCAAACAACCGAGTTGATTACTTGTCAACTTCCTAAACTAGCTACCAGCTAGTCAAACGACTAACTAGCTAACGTTAGCCAAAACAATCAACATTTACAGCAGATGGTTTACTGTAACTAACGTAGGAATGCTAACGTCGTTAGCTACCTAGCTAGCCAAATACACCGAAACCGGTTTTAACTAAAGTTAGCCATAGTAAAAGGCATTAATTACGTGGGGTGCATGGAGTTAGTTATATCGAACACATTAACTATAGATAATAGTTCTCTATAATACAAATTAAAAACAACTCACCATTTTCTCAGTGCGCACGAAGTTAGCAGATATTGTGTGGCTTCGCTGACGGGCTAACTAGCGCGCGCTACTTGCTAACAGAGTAGTCGCAGAGTCCGGGGAAAAGTAAAGGCCGGGGAATGGGGACAGTCGGGATTTTAGTTTTGAAATAACCACTTACTCCTTCTCATTATTTGCCTGTCCCAGCGAGGCTCAAATGTTACAAATCCGTTTGTTTATTAACCTTGTTTGACTCAAGTCACTCTGCCCCTATGTTTGACACGGTCGTTTCCCCGCACTGCGAAGATGTGTAGCTAGTTTTACGTACTATTTTAATATTCCGAAGAATTTACGCCAAATTTCTCCATAGGTGCGTTCACAAGCTACACATTTAGCGTATGCGATGACAGAGCATGTTCAGAGTGTTTACACATTTTCATATCCGGAAGTACGTCACGACCACTTTCTCTGGAAGAGCTTCCGAAACATATAGCGGTATTATATATCATTTCAAAAACTTCAAAACACCATGAATAGTTTGTCAAAATGTAAAGTTGTAGTGTATGTAGACCATGTAACCATTTAGTCATCCCATATTACAGTGAACGGCTTGCTAGCTTCTTTCTGGACATAGCTAGCTAGGCAGCTAGCAGTAGCCATGTGCCATGGTTGTTCTCAGAGATGGCATGTGTCCTGGATTGAGTGAAGAATTAGTTGTGGCTTTACGGGCAGCAGACATTACAACAGGTACGTGGGTTTTGATCAGTTTGTTCACTCTGGTGAATCTAGCTAGTTGATGAGGCAATGTTTGTATGACAAAGTATTCAAATACAATAATAATACAATCATAAAGTTACATGATCCTTTGTTTTTTTAAAAGTGGAAGATCTGGTGTCATCAGATACAGAAGACCTTGCCCAAAAATGTTCCGTGTCCTACAAGGTAAAACATGCATGAAATAATGCATTTCTATAATCATTATGTGATCTTGCAGACATTGATTCAGCTTTGATCTAACTTTATTAAACGTGCACCATGACCATTCGCCTGAGTAGGGTTGTGACTAGATGGAGTACAGGCACGACCGGAAGTGACGTTTCTTAGCAGGTTAGGAGAGCATTTTAGCTAACCCTAAACCTTTTCCTAATCTTAACCTAATGCTCCTAACATGCTCCGTTAGTTCTCCTAATGCCGAGGTGTCAAACTCATTCCATGGAGGGCCTAGTGTGCTGGTTTTGGGGTTTTCCTTTCAATTAAGACAACCAGGAAAGTGGAGTTCCTTACTAATTTGTGACCTTAATTCATCAGTCAAGTACAAGTGAGGATAAAAAACCAGCAGACACTCGGCCCTCTGTGGAATGAGTTTGACCGGGTCCTAACATGTTGCTTAAGTTCTACTAACCTGCTACGAAAAAGTTACTTCCGGTTGTAGCTGTATTCCACCTAGTCAGAACCTCTGAGTAGCCGGTTCTCTGCACATAGAGAATATACACATGCGCAGAACGTGATTCGCACATGTGCAGATGCCTCGGGAAGCTCCAGATCTTTTATTGCTCCAGACAAAAGATCATGAAAAAGTCAGATCCGCAGCCACTCCGTTTCTATAATGAGACAATGTTACAAACACTTTTGGCCACTGACTAACTTTGCATTTCAGGGCCTGCTGGCTGTACGCAGAGTGCTCCTGGCCCAGCACACAGCATTCCCTGTCTCAGGTGCTGATCTATATGAAGACCTGCTGAGTTCAACAGCCATCCTCTCCACAGGCAATCCTAGGTGATAATCTGCACATCACGTTGAAGGCCCTACATCGAAACTGTCTGAGGGACTTTCTATCAAGTGCCTGTAGTCTTGATGAGTATAAAAAAACTGAAGTAGTCTAGCAGGAGACAAAAATTATTGGGTTAAGTCTTGAGGGTCAATAATTATGTGCTCGAATCATATCAAAATGCAACACTGTTAAAAGATTGTTGCTTATCGAATTGAACCCTACTGATCCCCAGAGGGATAGGCTAGTAGTTTGTCCCAGGCTAACACATAGTGCTACTACATGCAGTAGTTTGGCTAAACATGTATACATACACCAGATGACACGGGAAGACCGGATACATACACAACAATGTAGATCACTGTTATGTGACGGTATTACAACAGACAGCAGAAGACAGATTTCTGTTTCAATGGGCAATTAAGGTTGTGGGCGATTCCAGCCTTATGGATGTTACATTTGCATGCAAAATCTCAACTTTAATGTCTCACAGAATGGACAAACAAAATATAAATAACACTTTTGAAAAAGTCTGAGTTTGTAAGTCTAAGGTCAAAGCGGTATTTATTATAATCCTCAGCGTTTCATCTTTCAGAACACACCGACTCCTCTTGATTTACAGCATTTCCCTCACTCAAACAACAAATGTGCAAAAGAAGCCGAATTAGCGGGAGGGGTGGGGGCATCTTCTAGTTACGTGCGGTGCTCAAATTAATAATGGCTTTCATTGAAAACTATACAGTGCTGTGAAGCGGAGAACAATTTAGTCGCTTATTAATGACAAAATCTGCCATTTTCAACCTGTATACAGGATGACGGGCTGTGAGTGGAAAGGGCTACCTGGTCAAATAAAACCTGCACTCTTACATTGAGACCTTAAGGATAATTATGAAAGTGGTTTCATTTGGAAATAACTAACTGTATTTTGCATGCTCAGGTTGACTTTCCCACTGAATATCCCTTTTATTATTCTACTGGGACTTGATGGGTTGGTTTTAGCACCTAGCAGGACATCATAGCCTTGGTGAATGATTGTGTGTTTATTTTCCTCCAGTCTAGATAAGCTCCTAGACTCTGGCTTGTATACAGGAGAGCTCACAGAGTTGGCAGGAGGCCCTGGAAGCGGAAAAACCCAGGTGCCCTTTTTCCCACAATTGTATATCATGTCATTGGCAAAGTTTACACCTTGCTTATCAATGTGGTTGGTTTTCGTAGAATGACCCAATGGATGCTGGTAGCACTACTGTCTAGTCTATTGAATGCAACATGTTTATGCTGCCTACATTTCCCTCTCTTTTAGGTGTGTTTTGGTGTTGCAGTGAATATATCTTACCAACTGAAGCAGAGCGTGATATATATCGACTCAACAGGAGGACTGTCGGCAAGTCGCTTGCTTCAGATGCTCCAAGCGAAGTTGTGCAATATGGAAGAACAGGTGAGCTGGAAGAGGCTGTGTGACAATGAAAATATAGTTGAATTAACATATTCATTTTCATCAAATAAATTGGCCCAGCGTCGTCTAGGGTAGGGGAGGGAATGGCCGGCAGGGGATGTAGCTCAGTTCGTAGAGCATGGCGTTTGCAACGCCAGGGTTGTGGGTTCGATTCCCACGGGGGGTATGAAAAAAGTAATGTATGCACTAACTGTAAGTCGCTCTGGATAAGAGCGTCTGCTAAATGACTAAAATGTAAATGTAAAATGTTGTGCAGATGGAGGCTCTTCAGAGAATCCAGGTATTTCGAGTGTTTGACATCTTCTCGTTACTCGGCTGTCTACATCATTTTCGATGCATTGGACTTCAGCAGGTAGGCCTTTGCTATGGCTGTGTCCCAAATGGCACCTTATTTACTAGTGTACTAATTTGGACCGGGCCAATAAGGCTCTGGTCAAAAGTTGTGCACTATATAGTGAATAGGGTGCCATTTGGGATGGACTGTATGTGATGTTGCTGAAATATTGAGGTAGTTTAAGATCACTATAATGACACACACACAACTGAAAATGTTAACATAACTGATTATTCATAGCGTTATTCAATCATTCTTGCATCCATGTCTTTTACAGGCATCTGCGGGAGGTGGCTCAGTCAAAGCTGTGATTGTGGATTCAGTGTCAGCAGTTATTTCTCCCATACTGGGAGGCAAACAAAATGAAGGTACTATGATGAAGTTTCTCGTGATAACTTATCACAATAACATATTCCCTTTTGAAATAACAAAGTTATAGTATCTGATAACACTAAGCAATGCCATATAATATACTGTATAAAGGACAACCAGTGGAACGTGAACTTAATGTAATTGATTTAGTGAAGAGAATGGCATAATTGTACTCTCTTCAAAGGGAGTCACCGTTGTGGTTTACTTGATATAAAAGGCAATTTGAGCATTTATTGCATTGTGTATACTTATAGCGCCATAATGACCTTTGGTGATTGGAATTTCTAGGCATGTCCATGATGATGCAAGTGGCAGGGCTGTTGAAGACAATCGCCAAAGACTTCAATGTAGCCGTTCTGGTGAGGGCAACTGATTAACTATTGTTTTTGGTCCTGTTCGGACATCTACACTATACGTGGGGGTTTATTTATTTATTTGATATGATAGTGAAGACGAGACATGAAATGTAGGAGAGATTGAGTCAGATTCAAACCATGCTGACTGGTAGCCTAGGCTGTACATGTGTAGCAGGGTCCACACATACACATGGATTTTGTGTTGTAGATATGTAGTAGAGTAGGGGCCTGAGGGCACACAATGTGTTGTGAATGATTTGTAATGTTTTTAAAATTGTATGAACTTTCTTAATTTTGCTGGACCCCAGGAAGAGTAGCTGCTGCCTTGGCATCAGCTAATGGGGATCCATAATAAATACAAATACAGGCCAAAAGTATAAGTGTGCTATGACCTATGAGCCTAAATAAATGCCAGTGATAAGAATCATGTACCCTCAGGTGACAAACACTGTGACCAGAGACGGCAATGGGCAGCTGAAAGCCGGACTGGGCCAATCGTGGAGTCACGTACCTAGAATTCGGATTCTACTGCAACGGTTCGAGAGGCCGGGTTCCACTTGTTCTAGCTTACGCACTGCCACTTTGGCCAAGTCCTCAAGACAGGTAACCTATTGAAGTGTTGACATGGGCTTGTCCATGTTAGTATTCATTCCTAGTCCAAATAAGATGGAAAATGTCATACATATAAGGCCCATTATTTTCAGCCTCAGTTCCGTGCAATCCCAAGAAAGTGGTCTGATGGAAATCAATGGTGTAAAAATGTGATGGTATCCTTTCCTGCAGAATGACAGTCCTGTTGCACTGGAGATATGTTCAAAAAGGACCAAACTTAATGGAGATTTAACCTGTTCTCTCTCTCTCAGCCTTGTCATCTGAAAGAGGAGTTTGACTTGCAGTGCTGGGGCAGGTCTGAAGACCAGCTGTATGGAGCATCAGCAGAGGAAGCTGGACAACACTGATCTCAGCTAGGCCTCAACATCCATGGTGGTAGGCTCATTGGGTATCGGAAGAAAACTGACTGAAAAGGAGAAAGGGATATTCAAATCGGTTTATTTTAAACATTAGCACATCAAAGGTATTTTGTGAATTAAAGGATATTTCTGACATCATAGATTTGTCACCTGGTTGCACTCTGGTTTACAAAATTAACAAACCTTAATTTAGTGTTCCGCTTGGCCGTAAAAAAATAATAATGGTGACATTGTATTGTGTCCTGCTAGTCCTTTTTTTTGTGCATTTCATGTGGAGAACATGCATTGTCAGAAGAAGCCCTCTCCTAGATACTATGACAGATGCTACTTTCATGATTCGCATCATTGGACATGTCCATATGACATGTTTACAACAAACTACCTTTGACTTGCTAAACTACTTTTCAACTCTTACTAATTGGTAAAAGTATTGATATCTACACTACACACTCGATCAAAGGAACCCTGTTTGAAGTGAGAAAACCTTCGCCTTGAGGTAGGTCAGCTGGACCTAACTCGTTCTGACAGTGGTTCACACAGCATGGGCACACAATTGCAGAAACCAAACTGAAAGACTCACTTCAAACAAGTAATTATGGTTTACTTCAACCAATGCTACTCGGATACGAAAAAGGACTGGAAACAAAATAAATTGAAAGATGCTTGGATGGAAACATTACTCAGCCCGTAGACAGATACTACTCCTAGCCTGACGTAGTACTGTAGTTAGGCGTATATCTTTCTTAAAATCTAAATCATACACTGCCATGACCATTACAATATCTCATGATCTGGTCCTGTGTCCTTGTGGTTCTATCATTCATATGCAACATTCAACTAAGTTTATATCGGTTTTAGCTTGCATCAAGCTCGGCTGTAAAACATGATCAGGGTATAAAGGTCCATTGTTTGTGAAGCCAGCACACTTCAAAATCGCACCAGTCTCCAGAAGGGGTGTATTCAGCTGCTGGGGGGGGGGGGGGGCGTGTAATTAATGTTCATCAGCAGGGGGGCACCACCCGTCTCTTGCGGATACACTCCCAGATCCAGCCGGGGGGGACTCTCTGGGCGTGGCTGTCCTCCTCGGGCTCTGTCAGGGTGTGTGTGGCCGAGGCGGCATCATACTCCGGCACTAGGTCCCCGTCGTAGGCCACAAAGTAGCGCCGCAGCTTGGTGTGGTCCGGCACAGAGTCTGGCAGGACCAGCTTCACCCCACTGAAAATGTCCAGTAAAGTCTGGGGAGAGCAGAGAGGAAGTCTTTAAGCCGTCATTCATTAAAATGACAGTAAGTATTGCAGATTGCACCTTTAACTAAATACAATATTACAGATAGATCATCCAATAACAGACCAACCGTTCAAAAAAATATATAAAGCTTCCCAAAACAATCATACCAATAATGGCTTACTAGAGCACCATCATAAAGAGGAACTTGAAAAGTGTGTTACTCTTGTACAGGCAGCATCACAGCATGATATGTAGATTACTATTTTTGTTAATGTTAACATTGACTTTTAATAATTTTATGTTCTAATATTTAATCTACTAGCATGTCTTGTTAGAACTTTTTGTTTAGAAGAATAAGAGCGTGAATCGCAGTTGGTGACAAATGGAACAAACAATGAAGCACCCACCTTGTCATTCCTGGGTTCTACCAACTTGGAGGGCGTCGTCTTTGTCTTGCTTTGTCCATTACTGTGATGGACAGTTTCAGTCTTTACCTGGAATACATTGGAGCCCAGATACATTTCGGGGGATGCAAGACTGAAATCTAATCTGGATGACTGAAATGTAATGACCCAATTAAAAAGAATGAAACAGTCTACTGATGCTACTTTGTGGATCACCTATGCAGCATCCTAAAACATATTGCCAAATAGGATAACACCAGTTGCTATGGTTGAGTGTATGGTACCTTCTTTGCGCTGGGCTCTTCTGAGGGCATTTTCCTCTTGGTTGCTGGAACAGGGGAGGGAGGCTCCAGCTTCACTACCTTGGCTTTGGGGGTATTGCTGTTGCCTGTCCGTAAGGTAATGGAAACATCACGTTGAATCAAAATATATTATTAAGAGTCGGGTTGGAACGAGGAACGGAAACGAAAGTTCTTTAATGTTCCGGAACAGAACAATTATTTTCAAATCTTGAGAACCGGTTAATGTTACTTTATGTTCCAAAAATATTCCTAATGTCTAGTATATAATTCTGTAATTCAGTGAAGTTATGATGCTAGTAATAGCCTAAACACATTCCAATTCACATCATGATGTTCAGCACTTCAAGCCAACCCCCCTCCATGTCCACCCTTCTCTCTCTCACCCCACCCGTGAAATTTCAGTCGCATCTCGCGCCTGCACTTAACTGACCAATTAAACATGTTAACTAGTTTTCCCATTCCATATCAAGCTGCTATATCTGTGCTAATTGGTGAGGTAAAATAATGAGCTAAATGTCAAAACTATGTTGATTTCAAGGGTTAAATTAACGTAGAATAACTATATGAACATTACTTTTTTGGGGTTCGAACCGGTTCAGAATTTTATGCTGCTCGGAACACTGGAATGGAAGAACATTGGGGTTCTGTTCGGAATGGAATGACTGGAAAATAATTTTTGGTTCCAACCTGTTAAGAGTACATTATTACTATCATGCGGGGGGCCAGTATTAAAAAATTAATAAAAAATGTATGCACTCACTAACTGTAAGTCGCTCTGGATAAGAGCGTCTGCTAAATGATTAAAATGTAAAACATGTGTAATTTCCCTAAAGTGTCAAACAAAAAGGATGAAAATCTCAAACCAAGGAGTGTTGTCATACCATATTTTTTCTTATTTATTAGTGGGGTATACAGATGATGCAGTACTCCCCAATAATGAATTCTAACAATACAAACGTGTAAATAAGTATGTGAATATATACGTCTGCGTCCGAAATGGCTCCCTTTTCCATATATAGTGCACTACATTTGAACAGGGCCCATAGGGAATATGATGCCATTTCAGACACACCCATGTATATACTGTACATTAACATACTTATTGACATACAGTAAAAGTCAAAAGTTTGGACACCTACTCATTCAAGGGTTTTTCTTTATTTTTACTATTTTCTACATTGTAGAATAATAGTGAAGACATCAAAACTATGAAATAACACATATGGAATCATGTGTTAAACAAATCCAAATATATTTTAGATTCTTCAAAGTAGCCACCCTTTGCCTTGACAGCTTTGCACACTCTTGGCATTCTCTCAACCAGCTTCATAAGGAATGCTTTTCCAACAGTCTTGAAGGAGTTCCCACATATGCTGAGCACTTGTTGGCTGCTTTTACTTCACTCCGCGGTCCAACTCATCCCAAACCATCTCAATTGGGTTGAGGTCTGGGGATTGTGGAGGCCAGGTCATCAGATGCAGCACTCCATCATTCTCATTCTTGGTCAAATAGCCCTTACACAGCCTGGAGGTGTGTTTTGGGTCATTGTCCTGTTGGAAAAACAAATGAGTCCCACTAAGCGCAAACCAGATGGGATGGCGTATCGCTGTAGAATGCTGTGGTAACCATGCTGGTTAAGTGTGCCTTGAATTCTAAATAATATCACAGACTTTCACCAGAAAAGGACCATCACACCTCCTCCTCCATGCTTCACGGTGGGAACCACACATTCAGAGATCTGTTCACCTACTATGCGTCTCACAAAGACACGGCAGTTGGAACCAAAATTCTCAAATTTGGACTCAGACCAAAGGACAGATTTCACCGGTCTAATGTCCATTGCTCGTGTTTCTTGGCCCAAGCAAGACTCATCTTCTTATTGGGTGTCCTTTAGTAGTGGTTTCTTTGCAGCAATTCGACCATGAAGGCCTGATTCACGCAGTCTCCTCTGAACAGTTGATGTTGAGATGTCTGTTACTTGAACTCTGTGAAGCATTTATTTGGGCTGCAATCTGAGGTGAACTCTAATGAACTTATCCTCTGCAGCAGAGGTAACGCTGGGTCTTCCTTTCCTGTGGTGGTCCTCATGAGAGCCAGTTTCATCATAGCGCTTGATGGTTTTTGCGACTGCACTTGAAACTTTCAAAGTTCTTGAAATTTTCCGGATTGACTGACCTTCATGTCTTAAAGTAATGATAGACTGTCGTTCTCTTTGCTTAGTTGAGCTGTTCTTGCCATCATATGGACTTGGTCTTTTACCAAATAGGGCTATCTTCTGTATACCACCCCTACCTTGTCACAACACAACTGATTGGCTCAAACGCATTAAGGAGGAAAGAAATTCCACAAATTAACTTTTAACAAGGCACACCTGTTAATTGAAATGCATTCCAGGTGACTACCTCATGAAGCTGGTTGAGAGAATGCAAGTGTGTGCAAAGCTGTCATCAAGGCAAAGGGTGGCTACTTTGAAGAATCTCAAATATAAAATATTTTTTGATTTGTTTTAACACTTTTTGGGTTATTACATGATTCCATATGTGTTATTTAATAGTTTTGATGTCTTCACTATTATTCTACAATGTAGAAAATAGTAAAAATAAAGAAAAACCCTGGAATGAGTAGGTGTGTCCAAACTTTTGACTGGTACTGTATGTTCATATTGTTTGTATGCATTATTGGAGTAAAGCGTAATCTACATACCCAACACTTATCACCCGAGACCAGACCCATGCCTATGGTACTCACTGGTCTTTCTGGGTGTGACTGGTCTGTGGGAGGTGGAGGGTGGAGAGTTGCTCCCGCTGTCTCCTCCTGAAGAGCCCTTGTCATCCTCACCTCCTTTGGAGGGCCCTGCTGTCACCTCAAAGTCACACCTCTCCTTGGAGATGCGGAAGAGCTCCTGAGAAGGAGGGAGAAAAACAAAAGCTGTGAAGTTAAGTGTTACTAGGGGGAATGCAAATTATATTTCTGAGGAATAGTTGTACGGCGTGCACCAATGGACAACAACCGTTTACGACAGGAAAGGTCTTGCATCATATAGTAGAGATGTAATAACAAAAATACTCCATGTGAGTTTGAGCTATTGCGTATAAACGTCTATTCAGCTCGAAAGACTAAACCTTATCACACCAAAACCTCCTCAGCAGCAAACCAATTGGACAACAACCGTTTACGACAGGAAAGGTCTTGCATCATATAGTAGAGATGTAATAACAAAAATACTCCATGTGAGTTTGAGCTATTGCGTATAAACGTCTATTCAGCTCGAAAGACTAAACCTTATCACACCAAAACCTCCTCAGCAGCAAACCAAATGAAAAGACACATTTTGGTTGCTATTTGAATATCGATATACAATTATAGTACAAGTTCCACTGTACTCATATCGGTTTGACTAAACGACAACGGGTGACCAAGTGGTACTGTTTCTATTGTTGATTACATTTTTGAATCCTTTACTTCTACATGGACATTACGTCTGTTGCACAGAGCACCTATAAATAAATATTCAATTGTTTTACATTACAGATTGAAAAACGTCCCAATAGAAGCCCTACATAGTTGCATCCTCAGGGTGTTCCTTACTTTGAGCTGCGTCAGGTTGGTGGCGCTCTTCCAGTCCTTGTCGTCACGGACACGCGTCATGCGGGGGAAGCGGATGGATATGCCGTCGGCTGTGTGCATCTCCGACTTGGAGAACTCCGCCCCCGTGATCTCCCACACCGGCGCTTTCTATCTCAGGGAGAGAGACATACAAGGATACAGACTGTAGAATTCAGGCTGAGTCCCAAATTACATTTTAGTCATTTAGCAGACGTTCTTATCCAGAGACTTTGATTTAGTGCATTCATCTTAAGGTAGCTAGGTAAGATAACCACGTCACAGTAAGTACACCTTTCCTCAAAGTAGACTCTGCTGTCCTAGCTTCAGGGGAAGCTGGTTCCACCATTGCGGTGCCAGGATTGAGAAGAGCTTGGACTGGGCAGAGCGGGAGCTGCCCTGACGTAGGGGTGGGAGGGCCAAGAGACTAGAGGTGGCAGAACGGAGTACTCGGGTTGGGATGTAGGGTTTGAGCATAGCCTGAAGGTAGAGAGGGGCAGTTCCTCTTGCTGCTCCGTAGAAAAGTACAAGGTCTTGTAGTGGATGCGAGCTTCGACTGGAAGCTAGTAGAGTGTGCGGAGAAGCGGGGTGACATGGCAGAATTTGGGAAGGTTGAATACCAGGCGGGCTGCAGCGTTCTGGATAAGTTGCAGGGGTTTGATGATGCAAGTGGGGAGCCCAGCCAACAGAGTTGCAGTAGTCCAGACAGGAGATGACAAGTGCCTGGATTAGGACCTGCGCCACTTCCTGTGAGGTAGGGTTGTACTCTACGGATGTTGTAGTCAGGATCGAGGGAAAGATGAACGGAGCAAAGTACAGAGATCCTTGATGAAAACATGCTCCAGAGCGCTCAGGACCTCCGACTGGGGCGAAGGTTCACCTTCCAACAGGACAATGACCCTAAGCACACAGCCAAGACATCGCAGCGGTGGCTTCGGGACAAGTCTCTGAATGTCCTTGAGTGGCCCAGCCTGAGCCTGGACTTGAACCTGATCGAACATCTCTGGAGAGACCTGAAAATAGCTGTGCAGCGACACTCCCCATCCAACCTGACAGAGCTTGAGTGGATCTGCAGAGAAAAATGGAAGAAACTCCCCAAATAAAGGTGTGCCAAGCTTGTAGCGTCATACCCAATAAGACTCGAGGCTGTAATCGCTGCCAAAGGTGCTTCAACAAAGTACAGAGTAAAGGGTCTGAATACTTATGTAAATGTGAGTTTTAGTTTGTATAAATTTGCAAAAATTTATAAAAACCTGTTTTTGCTTTGTCATTATGTGGTATTGTGTGTAGATTGAGGGGGAACAAACTATTTAATCAATTTTAAAATAAGGCTGTAACTTAAAATGTGTGAAAAGTCAATGCACTGTGTATAGTGCACGACTCTGGTTAAAAGTTGGGGGAGGGTGGTCTATATATACACACACAACTACTTCCTATCAGTATCAAATCTTGTTCACAAGGGCTGGCTTGAGCTATATGTACTGCACAGATTGGCTAATCTTGATAACGTATAGATCTGTTCCTGCCATGTATGGAAGTTGATAAAGTACAGATCAGCCTTGCGATGAATAGCAATTACATTTCTGTGCAATTAAAGAAATGCTGACGATTACAGTATAAATAAGTCAGTGATATACATCTTAAGAAAACAGACTTTATAGCTTCCTTGTATAATGACTCAAAGCCACATCTAAATCACATTTACATTTGAGGCAATTTGCAGACGCTCTTATCCAGAGCGATTTACAGGAGCAATTAGGGTGAAGTGCCTTGCTCAAGAGCACATCGACAGATTTTTCACCTAGTCAGTTTGGGGATTCGAACCAGCAACCTTTCGGCTACCTGCCGCCCCACTATGGGTAGCCTAACTTCATTGAAAAGCCTAAAGAAGTCTGGAGATTCACCATTTTGTCCTTGAACAGAACCCAATAGGAGATTCAAATGTATTAAACTATGTTAAATCTCACCTCGGGATCACGGATAATAAAATCAGGGTAATAGTTCTTGATGATTTTCAACCAGCCAGGGATTTTGCTGGGTTCCTGGAGACAGAAATGAGATCCACACATACATATATTAAAGAACAGTCCTCACACTTGTTGAATTCCAAATACCCTCCTAGCCCCTAGGCACTCCTGTAGATCTGAAAGGAGTGAATAGGTTTAAACAGCATGGAAATTGCTCCAACTTGCCTTCTGATAGGCTGGGTGGAATTTTCGCCATCCTGCTTACGCCTATTCAGGGGTGCCTAGGCGTAGGGGCTAGGGGTTGGAATTCAGAAAACCCTATTTCACAAACGGGCCACTCAAGAATGCACTGTTGGGCGGTCCCCCCCCCCCCCCAAGCTGCTTGGGTCACCTTGCTGATTTTGATCACGTCCAGCTCCTTCTGGAGTCGGGTCAACATGGCGTCATCGTAGCCTCCGGAGCACTTGGTCACGGTGCACCACTTCTTAGAGTGAGGGTCATAGCAGCCCATTAAGAAACTGGACATTATCCCGCCTGGTAGAGACATACAACATTATAAAAAGACATTCTGACTTCAAGTGAGGTCTTTTTCTATCCCCACAGCCCAAAATGGTCAGATCCTGTAGATGCTGGATATATACAGTCGTGGTCAAAAGTTTTGAGAATGACACAAATATTAACTTTCACAAAGTCTGCTGCCTCAGTTTTTATGATGGCAATTTGCATATACTCCAGAATGTTTTGAAGATCACTCGGTCATGCTGATTGACTTAGAATAACAGACTGGAAGCTTTAAATGGAGGGTGGTGCTTTAAATCATTGTTCTTTCTCTTAACCATGGTTACCTGCAAGGAAACACGTGCTGTCATCATTGCTTTGCACAAAAAGGGCTTCACAGGCAAGGATATTGCCGCTAGTAAGATTGCACCTAAATCAACCATTTATCGGATCATCAAGAACTTCAAGGAGAGAGGTTCAATTGTTGTGAAGGCGGCTTCGGGGCGCCCAAGAAAGTCCAGCAAGCGCCAGGACCGTCTCCTAAAGTTGATTCAGCTGCGGGATCGGGGCACCACCAGTGCAGAACTTGCTCAGGAATGGCAGCAGGCAGGTGTGAGTGAATCTGAACGCACAGTGAGGCGAATACTTTTGGAGGATGGCCTTGTGTCAAGAAGGTCAGCGAGGAAGCCACTTCTCTCCAGGAAAAACATCAGGGACAGACTGATATTCTGCAAAAGGTACAGGGATTGGACTGCTGAGGACTGGGGTAAAGTCATTTTCTCTGATGAATCCCCTTTCCGATTGTTTGGGGCATCCGGAAAAAAGCTTGTCCGGAGAAGACAAGGCGAATGCTACCATCAGTCCTGTGTCATGCCAACAGTAAAGCATCCTGTGACCCTTCATGTGTGGGGTTGCTTCTCAGCCAAGGGAGTGGGCTCACTCACAATTTTGCCTAAGAACACAGCCATGAATAAAGAATGGTACCAACGCATCCTCCGAGAGCAACTTCTCCCAACCATCCAAGAACAGTTTGGTGACGAACAATGCCTTTTCCAGCATGATGGAGCACCTTGCCATAAGGCTCACCAAAAGTGATAACTAAGTGGCTCAGGGAACAAAACATCGAGATCTTGGGTCCATGGCCAGGAAACTCCCCAGACCTTAATCCCATTGAGAACGTGTGGTCAATCCTCAAGAGGCGGGTGGACAAACTAACACCCACAAATTCTGACAAACTCCAAGCATTGATTATGCAAGAATGGGCTGCCATCAGTCAGGATGTGGCCCAGAAGTTAATTGACAGCATGCCAGGGCGGATTGCATAGGTCTTGAAAAAGAAGGGTCAACACTGCAAATATTGACTCTTTGCATAAACTTAATGTAATTGTCAATAAAAGCCTTTGACACTTATGGAATGCTTGTAATTATACTTCAGTATACCATAGTAACATCTGACAAAAATATCTAAAAACACTGAAGCAGCAAACTTTTTGAAGACCAATACTTGTGTCATTCTCAAAACTTTTGACCACGACTGTAGACTACATCCCAAATGGCACACTTTTCCCTATATAGTGCACTACTTTTGACCAGAGCCCTATGCGCCCTGGTCAAAAGTAGTGCACTAGATAGGTAAAAGGGAAAGGGTAAATGTGCCATTTGGGATGTAACGTACCCATAGACTATACAAAGCCATGAGTTGCCATAAGTGAAACGAATGTTAGAGAAAATATTGGAGCAGATGTTTGACAAATACACTGAACAAAAATATAAATGCAACATGTAAAGTGTTGGTCCCATGTTTCATGAGCTGAAATAAAACAATCCCAGAAATTTTACATAAGCACAAAAAGCTTCATTCTCTAAAATGTTGTGCACAAATTTGTTTATGCCTATTGGTCAGCATTTCTCCTTTGCCAAGATAATCCATCCACCTGACAGGTGTGGCATATCAAGATGCTGATTAAACAGCATGATCATTAAACAGGTGCACCTTGTGATGGGGACAATAAAAGGCCACTTTAAAATATATGTAATTTAGTTTTGTCACAACACAGATGTCTCAAGTTGAGGGAGTGTGCAATTTGCATGCTGACTGCAGGAATGTCCACCAGAGCTGTTGCCAGAGAATTGAATGAATGTTAATTTCTCTACCATAAGGGGGGGGGGGGGGGGTGCTGAGGAGTATTTATGTCTGTAATAAAGCCCTTTTGTGGGGGAAAACTGATTCTGATTGGCTGGGCCTGGTTCCCCAGTGGGTGGGCATGGCTGCCAAGTGGGTGGGCCTATGCCGTTCCAAGCCCACCCATGGCTGCATCCCTGCCCTGTCATGTGAAATCCATAGATTAGGGCCTAATAGATTTATTTCAATTGACTGATTTCCTTATATGAACTGTAATTCAGTAAAATCTTTGAAATTGTTGCATGTTGCGTTTATATTTTTATTCAGTATATATTAGCAGAGAATCATGGTTGATCCTACTAATTCTTCTAGGGCAACCCACTCCCAACCCACTCTTGGGGGGACTGCCAGACAGTCCACATTTAAAAAAGTTGATTAGCTCAGTCAGGTCAGGTGTGTCAGTGTAGGGCTAGAACGAAAATGTGGACTGTGTGGTGGCTGTCCTAGGAGAGGGTTGGGAAACACTGTCTAGTGTAGTGTTGGATCGTATTCATTAGTGCTAAACGTAGCAAAATGTTTTACAATGGAAACTGTTTGCATAACATTGTAGAGTCTAAGGTAAACAGTTTATGTTGCAAAGCGGTTTGCTACGGTGTAAACTCATGAATACGACCCTGGAGTACTGACCGTTTGAGCCTTTGCCATAGAAGGCTCCCAGCACCACCAGGTCTGCGGTGTCGGCCATTGCTCCCTCGTTCAGGTAGTCCTTCTTTACCTTCAGCCAGTGGCGCTTCCCTGGCTCATAGGTGCCCTTTGAATTCACACAGATTATGATCAATTCACATTTATGTATTGTTATTTTTTTACATAGGTTTGTTTTTTCATTATGTCAACCCTCTATTCAGGAGAAAGAAATACATGTTTGCCATTTCCCACAGATAAAAAATGCTGTAGAAAAAAAGACTAAGACTTGGCTTCTTGTTTCACATTGTTCATAATAACATCACTTGCTCATTCCCAAGCCCCCAGATTTACAGCCTAACAGACTAAGTAGGAAAGATGTGTACAGTAGAGTCAGGGGCCTAGTCCAGAAACAACCCCTAGCCCTACTACCTCGGCACTTAGGTAGATTTAAGAGGATTGGATAGGAATAAGTAAAACAGCAAACATTACACCTAGCCTATCAAAGGGCAAGATTGGAGCTACTGCTGTAATTGCTTAGATCTATCCAATTCTTTCAGATGTACATTAAAAGTTACTACCTAGGTGGTAGGCGCTAGAGGTCATTTCTGGGCCGGGTTAGGAGTTATTTATGTCTCACCTTGAGGTCTTTGAGGACCAGCCCCTCCAGTCCCTCTCTGATGACCCGTGTGATCATCTCGGCCAAGTCAGCCGCCCTCTGTGAGACCGTAAACGCAAACAACCAGCACATCAGGGTCATGTTCAGTAGGCACAAAACGTTATGAAACAGATTGAAACGGAGGTACTATGTGAACTTGCCCAATAAACACTTGTTTTAGTACTCCGTTGCAGTTTCACTCTGCTACATGGGGGAATCCATTGGCTTGGTTGATTATAAGTTAGAAAGACCTAGACTACAGTTTTGGTTTAATTCATTCCATTTAAGAGCTGTCAATTTATTCATTGTCTTGTCAATGTTGAGTAGGGACGCGCACCTGATTACGCATAGAAGTAGGCCTAGGCTACCTGGCCTGCGCACAAATGTAGGCCTATAAATGTGCCCATTTGGGGATCTGATAGTATTTCTGATTGTGTTAACTCACCACCACTGTGGAGCTTCTCAAAGTAATTATTTATTCGCCTCAAACACCAAGTAAACAAAGTCTATTTTTACATCCATTGAGAATAACAATAGTTCCTCAATGTAGCCTATTTGAAAAATAATTCCAGCCCTCTTTCGATAACTATTTGGCATGAAACAGTTTTTTTTTCTCCTTCTGGTTAGGCCGTCTTGATCTTGGCTCCCTCTAGTAATTTGTGTGTATTCATTATTTAAATCACAGTGTGCTTAAAGCATCAGACAAGCTCAGTAGCCTACATATAGTTGATTTTATTAAAAACACATAGCGTGTGTCTATATAGGGAAAAACATACGTTTAAAAATGTAGACCAATCTATTGGTTGAAAGAACAGGCGACTCTCAGTCAATCAAAAAAAATGTGGGGTCGGGGACAGCCCTAAAGGAGAGAAGTTTCAGACATGACGTGGGTCTACATACAGTGACGTGCTTCATCTCGGAGAACAGGATCCTGTTGGGGACCTCCACCATGTTGTCATGGAGGAACTTCCTTCGTTCGTACAGGGGCCTGTGGAGAAGAGAGCACGGTTGTGTTCAAATAGACACACAATGGAAGAAAGTGCTCCAAAAATCGAGTGAAAGAGGGAGGTAACATCTAAACTTGTCCAATAAGAGTTGCTCATTTTCCATTGCAAAATGTTTTGCTATGGTGAGACCCAATGAACATGACCCAGGCTGTGGCCAAAACACACAGACGATGGAAACCTTCATTTCCATCCAATAACATTGAGACAGGTTTGAATGTTGAAAAAAACAGACCGCATTAGACAACAGAAATTAATGCAGACAGACAATGAATATGATATTCACAACAGACAAACGTTTCTACAATAGGGAGGGGTAGGAGTTGAGTGGACACAAGTAAACTGTCCATGCAGTTGTTTAAAAAATCCAACAAATATTTCAGCCAACTCAAGGATGAGTGAATGTAAGCTCAGAGTGAATTCAATACAGACCTCAGTGTTGTAAATCTAAAGAGAGAAGTGACTACAGACAAACGTACTTCTCCATCAGGCTCAAGCCGTTGAAATAGATGCAGTCGAACACAAACAGAGCACGGTTGTGTTCAAATAGACACACAATGGAAGAATGGAAGAAAGTGCTCCAAAAATCGAGTGAAAGAGGGAGGTAACATCTAAACTTGTCCAATAAGAGTTGCTCATTTTCCATTGCAAAATGTTTTGCTATGGTGAGACCCAATGAACATGACCCAGGCTGTGGCCAAAACACACAGACGATGGAAACCTTCATTTCCATCCAATAACATTGAGACAGGTTTGAATGTTGAAAAAAACAGACCGCATTAGACAACAGAAATTAATGCAGACAGACAATGAATATGATATTCACAACAGACAAACGTTTCTACAATAGGGAGGGGTAGGAGTTGAGTGGACACAAGTAAACTGTCCATGCAGTTGTTTAAAAAATCCAACAAATATTTCAGCCAACTCAAGGATGAGTGAATGTAAGCTCAGAGTGAATTCAATACAGACCTCAGTGTTGTAAATCTAAAGAGAGAAGTGACTACAGACAAACGTACTTCTCCATCAGGCTCAAGCCGTTGAAATAGATGCAGTCGAACACAAACAAGCACACTTTGGCGTCTTCGAAGGCTGCTTTCTAAAGAAGGAGAGAAAAACAATTTATCCTGACACACACACTTACATTACATTTTAGTCATTTAGTAGACGCTCTTATCCAGAGCGACTTACAGTTAGTGAGTGCATACATTATTTTTTTATTTTTCATACTTGCTCTGTATCACACACACACCAGCCCCCATCCACCCCACACACACAAACAGCCCCCCTACTATCAAACACACACACACAGACAGCCCCGCAAACCCAAACAAGCGTACACTCCACAGAGAGGTCAGTGGAACGATAAGTTGGGCAGGCATGCTCACCTTGTGCACCCCCAGCGTCCCGAAGGGCAGTGGCTTGCTGGTGTTGGTGTCGATGAGGAGCACCTCGGCATCCAGGATCATGCTGTTGCCACCGACGAAGGCCTGAGGGATGAACTCTTTAAAATGGGCCACCTGGAACACAGAGAGGCTTTGTGTTCGATATGGAAAGGCATCAAAACACCAAGGGACATCAGAGGGGAAAATGCCTTAAAAAAGAAGATAAATACTTATTTGGATCAAAAAACACATTTAAGGCTAGGGATCAGTCTAGGGAATCAGTGAAAGTGATGGCCTTGAAAAACAAATGGTCTATGCTGCCCAGTCCTCAAAACCGTAATCAAATAGAGGATTTGTTTGACACTTTCCGATTTGCTAATCCAGAATCGGTAAAGAGTTCTGGTGGAATTGAACAATGCAGCTTCTCTCACTTAGAGTGTGTGTGTGTGGTCTGACCTTGTGCGGCAACACAGGTTTGAGGCTGCGGCTGAAGTAGCTGAAGTGGTCTCCATTCTTGTGGACCTGCACACGCTCACCGTCGTACTTGATTTCAGAGTACATGCCGTTGGGACACTTCTTCATGGCGTACTCAATGGACTTACATGCCTCGGCCTGGGAGGGAGAACAAATGACTTGTATTAGCCCCATACATTGGACTAGGGAACCCTATCATTTTAGTTGGATCTGCCTTCAGTGTATTCGCGTCTTCCCAGCTTTGCAGACCCTGCATTGGAAACCTGGGGCTGTATGTATCAAGCGTCTCCGAGTGGAAGTGCTGATCAGTTTCGCCTTTTAGATCACAAATAATAAGATTACATGGACAGGGGGACCTGATCCAAGATAAACACTTCTACTCTGAGACACTTGACATATACTGTAAAGTGCATTCGGAAAGTATTCAGACCCCTTCACTTTTTCCACATTTTGTTACGTTACAGCCTTATTCTAAAATGGATTAAATCGTTTTCTTTCCTTATCAATCTACACACAATACCCCATAATGACAAATCAAAAACAAGTTCAGAAATTTTAGCAAATGTGTAAAAAACAACAACTAAATATCACATTTACATAAGTATTCAGACCCTTTACTCAGTACTTTGTTGAAGCACCTTTGGCAGTGATTACAGCATTGAGTCTTCTTGGGTATGACGATACAAGCTTGGCACAGCTGTACTTGAGGAGTTTCTCCCATTCTTCTCTGTAGATCCTCTCAAGCTCTGTCAGGTTGGATGGGGAGCGTTGCTGCACAGCTATTTTCAGGTCTCACCAAAGATGTTAGATCGGGTTCAAGTCCGGGCTCTGGCTGGGCTACTCAAGGACATTCAGAGACTTGTCCTGAAGCCACTCCTGCATTGTCTTGGCTGTGTGCTTAGGGTCATTGTCCTGTTGGAAGGTGAACCTTCGCTCTGGAGCAGGTTTTCATCAAGGATCTCTCTGTACTTTGCGCCGTTAATCTTTCCCTCGATCCTGACTAATTTCCAAGTCCCTGCCGCTGAGAAACATCCCCACAGCATGATGCTGCCACCACCATGCTTCACCATAGGGATGGTATTGGCCATGTGATTAGCGGTGCCTGGTTTCCTCCAGACGTGACACTTGGCTTTTAGGCCAAAGAGTTCAATCTTCATTTCATCAGACCAGAGAATCTTGTTTCTCATGGTCAGAGTCCTTTAGGTGCCTTTTGGCAAACTCCAAGCGGGCTGTCATGTGCCTTTCACTAAGGAGTGGCTTCCGTCTGGCCACTCTTCCATAAAGGCCTGATTGGTGGAGTGCTGCAGAGATGTTTGTCCTTCTGGAAGGTTCTCCCATCTCCACAGAGGAACTCTGGAGCTCTGTCAGAGTGACCATCGGATTCTTGGTACCCTCCCTGAACAAGGCCCTTCTCCCCCGATTGCTCAGTTTGGCCGTGCGGCCAGCTCTAGAAAGAGTCTTGGGGGTTCCAAACTTCTTTCATTTAAGAATGATGGAGGCCACTGTTCTTGGGGATCTTCAATGCTGCAGAAATGTTTGGTACCCTTCCCCAGATCTGTGCCTCGACACAATCCTGTCTCGGAGCTCTACGGACAATTCCTTCAACCTCATGGCTTGGTTTTTGCTCTGACATGCACTGTCAACTGTGGGACCTTATATAGACAGGTGTGTGCCTTTCCAAATTATGTCCAATCAATTGAATTTACCACAGTTGGACTCCAATCAAGTTGTAGAAACATGAAGGATGATCAATGGAAACAGGATGCACCTGAGCTCAATTTTGAGTCTCATAGCAAAGGGTCTGAATACTTATGTAAATAAGGTATTTAAACCTGTTTTCACTTTGTCATTATGGGGTATTTTGTGTAGATTGATGAGGGGGAAAAAATATTGAATCCATTTTAGAACAAGGCTGTAACGTAACAATGTGGAAAAAGTGAAGGGGTTTCAATACTTTCCGAATGCACTGTACATATGGCCCCTGGTTGGGAAATAGGTCTGACCCTGGTCTTACCTAGGTCTGCTTCAGTGTATAAGAGGAACCTAATACACTGAAGCAGACCTTTGTTAACATTTAGTTGAGGGATGATAAGCCACTCACATTGGGGCAAAACATATTAGAGCACTTTCCAACCCATACAGTATTACTTTAGTGGGTCGTATTTAGTGTTCTGTACATGGTATGCTGGATGCAGCATGCTTCAAACGTGAAAGAGCTTATACAATTTTACTGTGAGGATACATTTCAATTCCATTCATATTTCTGCTGTGTGTATGCGTTGTGTCTGAAGTGACTTGCGTAGTACTGCATGGCTTGCAATAAGATCAACCCCCCCCCCCAAAAAAAAATAACATTCAGAATTCATGCTTTATCATTGAGATCTCTCAGTTGCAGTCAATTGCCCTTGTGGGATTACGCTCAGTGTTTTTCTAATCACAGAATCACTTTCTCAACCAGCTGAACCATTAAATTAGCGCATTCAGTACCAGGTGTGTGTACTGACAGTGTGTGTCTGTGAGAGTGAGTTTGTGTGTGTATGCGTGTCAACTTCATGTGTACAGGGCGAGTATGCGGAGGGTGAGTGTGAGCACGTCTGCTGAGTGTATGTGTGCATCTGTGTGTGTGAGAGCATGTGTGTGAGCTCACCAGCATAGGCTGCACTGGGGTCATGAGGGAGGCTTCAATAGTGAGGAGCTTCCTGGGGCCTGAGCCGTTGGTGACGTCCTGCTGGTTCTTCAGCACACGCTCTATCACGTCCCCTAGGTTACGGGAGGCCTTGAAAGCATCGTAGGCATTCGGGTCCACTGCATCCAAGCTGTTCATAAGATACATTTGACTGAGAAGAGGGTTCAAATATACTGCAATAAGTTTGAAAGTTATTGTATGCTTTAAAAGCTCTAGTATATAGGTTTATAAGTTGCAGCACAGAGTTGTATTGTTGTCATGTCAGGTTAGGAGTAAATCTGTCACTTACACATGCTTAGCTCCAGAGTTCATCTTCAGATCATGCTTGATGAGTCTGATGATACATTTCAGGTCATTGCCAGTGCATCTGCAACAAAGACAGGGTTGACTTGTGTGAGTATATTCGGAAGTTGACTCTGTCCCTTAGTCTTTTGATGCATAATATCTTATGTGCAGTAGAAGGAATTGTGGACAGACACGGATATACTAGGAATTGTGAGATGTCAAATCATTAAGTACAGTATAGATCTGCTAATAGAAGAAAATTATTACTTTTTGGATATGTCCTCTAGCTCTTTCTGCTGGTCATCCTCCTTGGTTAACTGGGCCAGACGGGTAAGGGACGCATCCACTTCCTGAATCGTGAGCAGACTCTTAGCGGCCGGCGGGAAAGACTTGCTTTCTTCAAAAAACATCCTCACTGTCTCCGACACATCCCCCTGTACGCCCAGAATAAAAATATACTCAATACACGCCAGTCCTGAAACCCTCGGTTCTGGGGCCACATGGGCTGTATGTTGTGATAGATCCTACTCTATAACATACCATTTATGTCTGACTATGTACTGTTGTTTGTTCCCAGCTGTGTTTTGTGTATGCAATGTGTGAGTTGTGCAAAGATTTCCTCTTATATGACAATAAACATGAACAACTTGTCAGAAGCACTGACTGTCATGTTTTGGACTCAACACTGACCTGTTCCAGATCTCGCACCATCTCCTCCTGGTTGCAGTTGAAGATGCGGCTGAAGAGCTTGACTATCTGTTTGTCGTTGAGGTTGTACACACTCTTCACCACCCCTGGGAGAAGCAGCTTCACCGTCAGGTACACATCTCCCTTGAATTTATCTGGTAGGGAGAAGAGAAAAAGAAAATTAGGTATTTCAGTAATACTACTTGCCTACTTTAAAAAAACTACCTTTTTGAGGACAACATTCAATGCAGTACAATACTGCAGAGTACAATTTACAACATCATAAATTAAGCTACGCACGCACGCACACACACCTCCCCCAGAGCCTTTCTTCAGGAAGTCGTGGATGATCTGCGTCTTGACGTTGTAGCTATTCTTGTCTGCCACCATGGCACACAGCTTGCGGAACTCCCGGAGCAGGCTATCCTTGTGTTTGGGGTCACAGAGCTGGGCGGACAGAGGACTGCCCTGGTTGGGTTTGGCTGGGGATGGGCCTGGGCTGCTTGAGCTCCCAGCCTTAGTAGCTGATTGGACAAAGGACAATATGATTGAAAAAATAAAGACGAGATAATACAGCAGGGTTATGTTTTGGTGGAATGGACAGAGGAAAATAGTTTTGAAACTGAAAACACAAACATTTGCACTTTTGTAGCAGGACTAGGCTAACTAGTTTTCAGATGTGCACACTGGTTGATCCAGCCACTGGAATGCCCTCTCACCTGTGAAGCCAGAGAACTTCCGTGGTGCATTCAGAGGAGGGTCAGCAGGCGGAGCTGATAGCTGACCACTGTTGTTCAGCTTGGCTTGCACCTTCTTCTTTGGGCTCGCGTTAGCTTTGGCCATCAAGTCTATATAAGTGAATGAATGAGAGTTGTTAAGTGGCATCTCAATTAACATGACAAGAAACAAGAAAAGTGAAAAGAGGTTAACATTCTTCTTCCATGGTGAACAACACCAATGTGAATGCCATGACATGCAGCCTATGAGGAAATATGTCTGTCAGTATATGCATTACAAAACTCATTTCACTTCTGCATGTGGAACTTAATCCGGCTAAATTGACGGGAGAATATCTTTTTTTTACATTTAAAATTTTAGTCATTTAGCAGACGCTCTTATCCAGAGCGACTTACAGTTAGTGAGAGCATACATTTTCATACTGGCCCCCCGTGGGAATCGAACCCACAACCCTGGCGTTGCAAACGCCATGCTCTACCAACTGAGCTACACAGGGCCAGTATGAAACATTGTACCTCCAACAAGTTTGTTGATGAGCTCCTTGTCCTCATCCTGCAGCTCCTCCCAGCCCTCCAGGTCTGTGATGTCCTCGATCTTCTTAGTGGTGGCCCGGGCCCGCTCCATCTTCTCAAAGATACACTTCACATGGTACCACTCCTTCATCTCCCCAGCGGACTCACTGAACGGGTTAGGCACAATCTTCCCGATGCGGGTCAAGCCCTTCATGATTTTGTCCTTACACTTCTTACATCCCGCAGTGCCACGTTTGGCATACTCCACACAGTATCTCTGTTCAGCCATGTCTGTCTGTTTAGTACAATAGTGACGCCAGCAAACCTTGAAATTAGAATCTATTGAAAGACTGCGATTCCGAGGGGGCTGGGTGCACTGATAGAAGTCCAAGGGATAGGGGAGGATGCCCCTACAATGGGGTAGAATTTGGAAGTTTGCAGATAAGGGATAAGCGCCAAACAGTTTCCAGGTGGGTTGACACCTGCACAGTTTCCCAAAATGTCTATTGTAGACAGTCTTAAGTGACAATGAAATTAAGAATCTCAGCATCCAGTATGGTTTGGTGAGATCTAAAATGTCAAAAGGTTTAAGGTTATTCACAACGATGCATTGCAGTACTGATAATAGCCAACTATCTGCCTGGAATTTAGATAGCTAGTTAAGTAATTTGCTAGCTAGATGGTGCTTACAAATTACCCTCCCCCCTTGCATTTGTCGATTAGCCAGCTAACTAACAGTTAGATAGCACAGCTAGCTAGCTAATAACAAACCCATAAAAACTAGTTCGTTTATGGAAATGTAGATGCTGTCCAGACAACGCCAAAGAGTATGTATGAAGTAGCGTATTACTCCCAAAACTAATGAAAGTTTCACAATAATAGCTAACCGTTGCTAGCTAGAAATATGACAACTCGCTAAAACTCGCTACGTGTACATGATTGCAGTTATTGGCTAACTGGTTGCTAGCTAGCTAACGTTAGCTTTTAGCTAGCTTTAACCAAATGTGGTAAGGTTAAAAATGGGCTCATAGTTTCGCTCAAATATGTTATTTACCTTGTTTTAAAGTGGGGGAGGAGGCTAATGACCCTAAATGTTACAAACGAGGTTCGCTTTTATTAGCTAGCAGCTAGGTATAGGCTACACAATCATTTTAAAGGCAACACTCCGTTCCCTTTAAATCCTAGCTAGCTACCACGCTTCTTCTTTGTTCGCCCGCGTTTCCTGTGTTTTGCGCATGTGCGGGTATGCGGACAGATATGGTAATGAGACGCGAGACCAAATGAAATTGTATTCTTCTTCTTCTTTGATGAGGTTTAACGGCGGTTGGCATCCAATTTGTTGCATTACCGCCACCTACTAGACTGGACTACAACTCCCTTATGTTTGCTTGAAAAATAAAATAAAGAAATACCCTACCATCTAACACTACACTCACAAATTCAAAAGTATTATTAATCATTAACACCACCCTACTCCACTATTTAAATATATTCATTCCTACCTCATGCCCTCAACCTGAAATGATGGAACATTACATTTACATTTTAGTCATTTAGCAGACACTCTTACAGTTAGTGAATGCATACATGTTTTTTTGTTTGTTTTGTTTTTTGTTTGTTTTCATACTGGCCCCCATGGGAAACGAACCCACATCCCTGCCGGCCAAACCCTCCCCTACCTTGGACGACGCTGGACCAATTGTGCGCCACCCATGGGTCTCCCGGTCACGGCCGGCTGTGACAGAGCCTGGACTCGAACCAGGATCTCTAGTGGCACAGCTAGCACTGCAATGCAGTGCCTTAGACCACTGCACCACTCGGGAGTCAAGTGGAGACATCACCACTTAACACTCCCTGTAACTCTTCTGATGTCAAGTCTTGCACACCCAAATACCTCTCTGCAGCTGCCACCACAACCTCCATTTTCTTCGACTTACGTTCCATCCCTGCAGTACAATTAATAACCATTGCTATAAATGCTAAAAATCCAATCTTACTGAAACATATCACTTGTTGGCCTATCTCTCTGTACTGGTACATATCTACTACTCTCACCACTCCTCCCCCTTGACCCATCTACTTTCTTCACTGCCTCAGCATATGACAACTTCTTCACTACTCTTACCCTGGAAACCTCAACCTGCCTCTCTCGCACGGGACATTTCTGATCCCCAGCCCCATGGGCACCCCTACAATTAGCACATACCACTACTTTCCCCAATGCTACACATTCCTTTGTCTCATGCCCTTCTGCACACTTCTCACACCTTGGAACCTCCCTCCTACACACTGCTGACACATGCCCATAAGTTTGACACCTGTAACATCATAATGTATTCGGCACATAAGCTCATGCAGGATAACTTACATATCCTATCTTCACTTTGTCAGGCAAAGACTCAACTTCAAAACTCAAAAGAACAGACAATGACTCTTCTGTTTCCCCACTCTCGCCACCCTCTTTGCGTCGCACCAAATGACAAGCATCACAAACACCGGGAATCTTCCCCTTCAGTTGGTCAACTTTTACATTTTCAAATTGTATTTGTCATATGTGCCGAATAAAACGGGTTTAGATTGTACCGTGAAATGCTTGCTTACGAGCCCTTCCCAGTGATGGAGAGTTAAAAACAATAATACAAAGACAATAGTAACACAAGCGGAATAAAATACACAAGAATGGAGCTTTATACAGGGAGTAGCAGTAGGCTACCAGATCAATCTGCAGGGGTACGAGGTATTTGAGGAAGATTTTATATGTACACGAAGGCAGAGTAAAGTGCAGGCAAAGATGACATGATTGAAGATTATTCTAAATTCTGACTCTGTGTCATTATTCCATTAATTATTACTACACAAACACTGCCAGAGTGCCACACTGAGGGTCCGTTACTGCAGGGTTTCCCAAACTCGGCCCTGGGGCCCTAACCAACTCATCATCAAGCTTTGATTATTTGAATCAGCTGTGTAGTGCTAGGGCACAAACCTTAAAGTGCACCCAGGTGGGGCCCCAATACCGAGTTTGGGAAACCCTGCTTTACTGCTCCACACAAATACTTTATCTAAGAGTATAGAGCTCGCCAGCTTGTAGTCCTAAAAACCAGAAATTAGTTACTGGTTCGTTCAGCCTTCTATGGGGTAAATGAATGGGGGAAAGAATGGGGTTTTGGGATAACTGCCGAAAATAAGGTCTGAGGTTAACACAGGCTTAGGAGATTTTATACATTTTGTACTAAGAGATAATATCAGTCTGTCATGACCTTTATGAATTAAGAAGCCTTTGTGCTTTACATTCTTGTTTTGATTAAATACATTTTTAATTTTTTTTATTTATTTAACCTTTATTTAACCAGGTAAGCCAGTTGAGAACAAGTTCTCATTTACAACTGCGACCTGGCCAAGATAAAGCAAAGCAGTGCGATAAAAACAACAACACAGAGTTACATATGGGGTAAACAAAACATAAAGTCAAAAATACAAACAGAAAATATATATACAGTGTGTGCGAATGTAGTAAGTTATGGAGGTAAGGCAATAAATAGGCCATAGTGCAAAATAGTTACAATTTCGTATTAACACTGGAATGATAGATGTACAAAAGATTATGTGCAAATAGAGATACTGGGGTGCAAATTAGCAAAATAAATAACAATATGGGGATGAGGTAGTTGGGTGGGCTAATTTCAGAATGGCTGTGTACAGGTGCTGTGATCGGTAAGCTGCTCTGACAACTGACGCTTAAAGTTAGTGAGGGAGATAAGAGTCTCCAGCTTCAGAGATTTTTGCAGTTCGTTCCAGTCATTGGCAGCAGAGAACTGGAAGGAATGGCTTTAAAATTCACAAAGAGTGACACTAGCTGATGAATATTATCTCATAGAACAAAATGTATAAAATCTCCTTAACCTGTGTTTACCACAGACCTTATTTTTAACAAATAACATATTTCACCATAGGCTTTGGCCAACAAGCCATGGAGGAGTTAGTGCCTACAAAAAAAATGCCATTACTATTGCTCTCCATTGGGCAAATATTGCACAATCCAGGGCACGTTCAGCAAGACGCAAAGTTTTGGAACGTTCAGATAGATTAGTTCTATGTAGAATAAACATGCCTCTCTGATCGCTGCCAAATGTTTTTCTAACATGTATTGACTCTGGAGGTGAATTCTTATCTAATCAAGTATTGTTCTTGTATATTAATTTACTCATACCTGATGCCTTTTATGAACATTTTCGATTACTGAAATGTAATCGAACACATTCATAAAAGGCATTGGGTAGGATTAAATTAATACACAAATATAAATATAATTTTATAAATATATAATTTTAGATTAAATTACTGCGTTTTCATGAATTTGATGATATAATCTTGAAGCTCATTCAAGAGATTATGGGACATGAAGTAAAGTGGAAGTAGCCGTCACTTTCACTGGGTATACCCAGAGACGGTATAGTTCCTCTAATATCTCTGGTATACCCACTTTTAGCTACCTACTTACCTGGCCAGAAATACTTTAAGAGATGAGAAATTCTTAGTGTTTCAGGCCTGGCCATAGACTAAGATAAACATCTAAACTTTGTATCTGTCCCATTATGGCATCTGTGAGAGATTGGGCAGCTCTATTGAGGCCATCTTCATTTTAAAGTAGTCAATTTACTTCTTCTACTACTTCTATGAGTTGGCAAACAAACTGAAAGGGTACATACTGCCACCTCGAGTGTGTTGTTTGAACAGGTATAAAACAGGTATAAAGCCAAGGTTGGTAATTTACTGCCACCTGCAGTTATGGAATTTTTGCTCATGAGTATAATTCATTGGCTGATCTGTCCTGATGACCTGGATGGAATTATGTGATCCTTTCTTAACCCATAGGTAGTCCCACCTAGTTGACTACTTCATGGCTCTGCTCAGAGCCATATATTAAGAGAGTTGGGCCAGGTTTTACAACGGACTCCATGTAGATGCCTTTATTCTCAACATTTTGGTGATGTAACAATACAAAAGCGTCTCCGACAGTTCCCTATGAAATGACCCGCTGTAAACAAGCAGAACATAGCAGCGAATTGAACAGATGTTTTCATTGATTAGCATTCGGGATAATGTGTATCCAAGTTGGTACTGTGTTGTGGTATCAACAAATTACATATCTGCTTTCACTGGACATCTTCATAGGTTTAGAAAAATATCAGAAATAAAAACGACACAATGCGGAAGCGTCAATTATCACTTAGCAACAGCTATGGAGGAGAAAGTGGTGCTCTCATAACGTTCAGACAGAAACCGCATTGGCCCCAGCTCTAAATGCAGTATATGACTCTGGCACTGCCCATTCTAAAACATGCTTTTGGGCACTTGAGATATATATCTATCTCTATGGACCTGTCTCATTATTAATATGATTTATTGGTCTTCTTCATGGTGTTAGTTTTTCCACATGTAATGATTTTATTCTATAAAGATCGTTATTCTGTCAATATTTTGTGAATATTGTAGAAGAATTCTCAGAATATACCAATAATGTATGCTCCAAATTTTGGCTATCAAGTTTTCTGACATGGTTTTCCTGCCAGATAATAGATATCTACTTCTACTATTGTACTGTTACTGTACTAAATTAGTTAGATTACTAAAATAACTAAATCCTAACTTAGATAGGTTGGCATATTTTGTATATGGTTCACTATCACTGTCCCTCCATGTGATGGATGAGCTTTTAGATTGTTATCTAGACACAAGCAAAGTGTGAAAGTGTTTGCTGTAAGATAATGTAATTCAGGACAATCTACAGCCCTTTAGTGTGTCAAAAAGTTATAAGTACTGTATGTGTTATGGATTTATGAAACAAAGCAACTAATTACAGTATGTACACAGTGTACAAAACATTAAAGACACCTTCCTAATATTGAGTTGCACCTAGTTGTTTCAAAAAATTATTATTAAGTAACTGGTTCCCCAGCCTTTTTTTGTTTACTCAACTTTTTGGTCCAAGTGTTACCTTAACAACAAAAAAATGTGTCCCAAACTTAGCTCCAACTTGAGAAAACGTAGGCAAAAATTCAATCAATTGAAAAAGATGTGTTTGCTCAACTTCTCTCATATGTTCATTCAACTATAAATTATTATTTGAGCATCTTACCTAAAAAAGGCTGTGGAACTAGTTACACACACAGTGCTTTTAGCATACAATGTTTTCCACTTACATATTTGACACACATTAACATAAAATACATGATTACATTGTGCATGTTCATTTATTA